TCAAGCAGTAAAGATCTCTTTAGGTGCCCGACAAAAGCTAAAGTTTATTACAACTGATCCTCCATCAAAAACATCAGCAACATATGAGGATTGGGAAACTGATAACTATATGGTTATGTCCTGGTTGTGGAACAGTATGGAACCTTCCATTGCTTCCACTTTTATGTTTGTCAACACTGCAAAGGCAATCTGGGATGCAGTTAAAGAAACTTTATGGACACTAATGTTTCTCGCATATATTCATTGTATGAAAAGATATTCCATTCTCGTCAATGTGACTTCTCTGGTCAAGGCCTCGGTGACTATTACAGTACTTTCAAAAGTCCGTTAGATGAGTTGAATCAGTACCATCCCTTGACTACTGATCCTGACATTCTCAAGCGACAACGTGAGGAATTTTCTGTTTCCATTTTTCTTGCTGGTTTGCACCCGAGCCTTCATAATATTCGGGATTAGATCCTTGCTGGTGATGGAGGACTCCCATCTTTAGGTAACATTTATTCCCAATTACTTCGGGTTTCAGAACAATCACATGTGACGCCCATTGGAGTGAAAGAAAATTCAGCTATGATGATTCCTTCTATTTTTCCACAGTCCTCTAAAGGTCGTGATACTGCTAGTGGCAACAGAGGGTATGGTGGAAATTCAGGTGCTACTCCTAGTGGCAACAGAGGGTATGGTGGAAATTCGGGTAGTTCTCGTGGTGGTAGTGGCCGTGATAGAAGTCGCAGTCGCCGTGGTCGTGGACGTAGTGATACTCGCATTTGCAGCCACTGTCGGGGTACTAACCATTCTGTTGAGAACTGTTGGACTCTTCATAGGAAACCAACATGGGCAAATCAAGCAGTGTCTTCCTCTGACCTTGCGGGGTCTCATCACTCTCTTGGTCAGACTTCTGTATTACCATTACCTGCATCTACTAGTGACACCGTGACACTGTCATTATCACGAGCTGAGTTCAGTGCATTGGTCAACCGGACACATCCCAACTCTACTGATGTGGTTAATTTTGCGCAATCAGGTAATATTGCATGCTTGTCCGATTTACAGACTTCAGCATCCCCTTGGGTTATTGACTCTGGGGCTTCTACCCATCTCACAGGTGATGCCTCTTTATTTTCTAATTTTCAGAAGTCTAGTTCCTCATCTTTTGTTACGCTGGCTGATGGTAGAACATGTTTCATTATTGGCCAAGAACAATTAAATTAACCCCATCCATTTCTTTATCCTCTATGCAATTAGTTCCAAATTTTCCCTTTAATTTATTATCTGTAAGTAAATTGACTCAAGCACTGAATTGTTTTGTCACATTTGATCCTTCGTTTTGTGTCTTTCAGGACCTCAACACGAAACAAACGATTGGTGGGGGCAGTAACAGAAATGGCCTATACTATTTAGATTGCAAACCTTCCATTGTTGCTTTACATTCCCAGATGTCTGTGTACCAGTGGCATTATCGGTTAGGTCATCCCTCGTTGCGATATTTGAAGTCTGCTTTGTCTTTCCTTGAGTCGGTGTCTACTTTAAATTGTGAGTCTTGTCAGTTGGGTAAGCATCATAGAGTGCCTTTCCCTCCTCGTATCGTTAATCGTTGATCTTCTTTATTTGAATTAGTGCATACGGACATTTGGGATCCTGCTCGTCACACTAGTCACTCAAGTTTTTTTATTTTGTTACCTTTGTTGATGATTATTCAAGGATGACTTGGTTGTTTTTAATGAAAGACCGTTCTAAACTTTTTTCCATATTTCAAATATTTTTAAAAGAAATTGAGGTCCAATTTGGATGTGTTATAAGCACTTTACAATCTGATAATGCTATGGAATATGTCAAAGGTGCTATTTCTAGTTTTTGCGACTCCCGTGGTATTTTGCACCAAACTTCTTGTTCTTATACTCCTCAACAAAATGGTGTAGCCAAACGGAAAAATAGGCATTTAATTGAAATAGTTTAGACATTGATGATACATATACATCTTCCAAAAGCATTTTGGGGCGATGCCGTTTTAACTGCTTGTTATTTAATTAATTGTATGCCATCTTCCGTTCTTAATTGGAAATGTCCTTATTCATTTCTTTTTCCTACTCGACTGTTATTTGCATTGCCGCCTCGTGTTTTTGGGTGTGTGTGTTTTCGTCACATGTTACGTCCTGGCGCTGATAAATTGTCTCCTCGTGCCATTAAGTGTGTCTTTATTGGATACTCTCAGACTCAAAAAGGTTATAAATGTTGGGATCCTAGCACTCGTAATACTTTTGTGTGCATGGACGTTACCTTTTTTGAGGATACTCCTTATTTTTCTTCACATAGTTCGTCTTTAGATACTGAGCTGCTGCTTCCGTTGCCTGTTGTGTCACATTCATTACCCTGTGATCCACCACAACCACCTCATGTGCCACCGCCACTTCAAGTGTATAGTCGTCGATCACGAGTAGCACCCCCCCAATTGTCTACTTCCATTGAGGCTCCTCCTGCTACTGATGATCTTCCTATTGCATTACGCAAGGGTATTCGCTCCTGCGTCACTGCACACCCCATATCTAACTTTGTTTCCTATAAAAAGGTATCGCCCTCATTTTCTTGTTTTTTATCCACGTTATCTACAACTGCTGTTCCGAAAACTGTGCAGGATGCTCTATCTGATACAGCTTGGCGCAAAGCCATAATAGATGAAATGGATGCTCTTTATCATAATGGGACATAGGACCTTGTTCACTTACCTTCCGGTTCCAAAACGGTTGGTTGTAAGTGGGTCTACATGGTCAAATATCTCCATAACGGATCTGTTGAGCGATTGAAGGCTCGCCTTGTTGCAAAGGGATACACACAAACCTATGGTATTGATTATGATGAGACTTTCTCCCCTGTTGTGAAGATTTCTTCTACCCGAATCCTTATTTCCATTGCCGCCAATTGTAATTGGCCGTTGTTTCAATTAGATGTGAAAAATGCTTTCTTACATGGTGACTTACATGAAGAGGTTTACATAGAGCAACCACCTGGATTTGTTGCTCAGGGGGAGTCTCGTTATGCTGTATGTCGTCTTAAAAAGGCCCTGTATGGATTGAAACAATCTCCAAGGGCTTGGTTTGGAAAATTCTCCGAGCCGATACTTTCCTTTGGCCTTAACAGATGCCAGACAGATCATTCGATATTTCACCAACATACTAAAACTGACTTTATATTTCTTGTGGTATATATAGATGATATTGTTATAACAAGTGATAATTCTGACGGCATTGCAAAGTTAAAATTGTTCTTACAGAATCGGTTTCACACAAAGGATCTAAGCAAACTCAAATATTTCTTGGGTATTGAGGTCGCTAAATCCAAGGAAGGTATAAGTCTATCTCAAAGGAAATATGTGTTGGACTTGTTAAAAGAAACAGGTATGTTAGGTACTCGCCCTGCTGATGCTCCTATGGACCCAAATATAAAATTATTACCTGATGAGGGTGATTTATTTGACGATCATGGCAGATATCGACGTCTAGTTGGGAAATTAATTTATCTCACTATCACTCGACCTGACATTTCATATGCAGTTAGTGTAGTCAGTTCATTAGTGCTCCTAAAGTACCACATTGGAATGCTGTTCTTCGAATTATTCGATATCTCAAACAAGCTCCAGGTTTTGGATTATTATATAAACCTAATGGTCATCTTAATGTGACAGGTTTCACATATGCTGACTGGGTTGGTTCTCCCTCAGATAGGAAATCTACTACTAGCTATTGTACATTTGTTGGTGGAAATCTTGTTACATGGAAAAGTAAAAAGCAAACAGGTGTAGCATGGTCTAGCGCTGAAGCATAGTACAGGGCGATGGCCCATACCTTTAGTGAGTTAACGTGGATGCAACATTTTCTTGAAGAACTTGGGTTAATAGTCAAGACTCCTATTCCACTGTTCTGTGATAACCAAGCACCTATTCACATCGCATCCAATCCGGTGTTTCATGAAAGAACCAAGCACATTGAAGTTGATTGTCACTTCACTCGAGAGAAAATATTGAGTGGAAACATTTCTACTCCATTCGTGAAGTCTGAAGATCAAGAAGATCAATTAACTGATATGTTTACTAAGGCTCTTGGTCATAATCGGTTAAAAACGATATGTTCCAAGCTGGGATTATATGATATATATTCTCCAGCTTGAGGGGGAGTGTTAAAACACTTGTATGTATATATGTATTTATGCTGGGGTCTTATTGTAATCAGATATAGGGTTTGTGGCCATTATGTAAATAGGCGTTTCTTGTATTGTATATAGACCCCCTTTATGGTTTAGGGTTAAAGGAAGAAATATGAAATATGGGCTATGCCACTCTCTAGTCTAAGAGCTCTCTCTCTCTCTCTCTCTCTATCTCTATTCTCTTTCTATATAAATCTCCATTTTTACAGTCACCTTAGACCATTCCCGAATGGGTGGTGCCGAACTCACAATGCCCTCATTGCAGTCAGACCACCTTGGCTCTTTAAACCAAGTAGAAATATAATATAGAAAAAAGAGGAGAGAATTGTATAAAGGCTTGAATGAGATAAATCACTTATTCACAGCTCTAGTATTTATAGATAAAAAGAGCACATGCTCATATTACAAGAAAGGAAATTAAATCAAATCTAAATCAAATCACAACATACTCTAAAGCATAATCAAATCTCTGCTAATACAGTAAGTCATTCCATAAATCGTGGCTATCATATACGCTAACAGTAACACATCGGGGAGTGCTGAATAAAAATTTGCTGCAGAATGCCTTTCCCCAAATCATACATGAATTCACCCCCGCGGCCCCCGTATATATATTTAATTGAAAGATCAGCAGAAGTCCCACTATTAATCTTATTGATGTGTTTTAGAAATTGAATAATCGAATTAATCATTAAGTGGAATCACATTCCAGTATTACACAACATTATAAAAGCCTTATTAATTGGAGAAAAAAATAACAGCATAAGCAAAGAAAACATACAAGATTTTTGGCATGAAACTATTACCTGTAGAGCAAGGGCAACTGCTTCTTCATGCATAGACATCATGCTGTATATATGAACACAGGCACGCATCCGCTTTTCCTTGAGGCAAAGGCGCAAGGCATATTTGGGATCATAGAAGAATTCAGGGCCATTTGGTCGGCCTTTACCAAACTTACATTGTAGGAATCGCAGCAGAGCACTATCATCCTCCTAATTATGACCGCAAAGGAACACAAACATTAGTTTTATATATATATGCATTAGAAGCTTCATTTTCATTTCTTATGGATAACACACAAGGATTTCATTCGGAATGCACTACACATATTGATAAGACCTAAAAATCCAGATGAACAAAGCACAACATGTTGGAGCAATGAATCGAGATCATAGGCACTTGTGGCTTCTACAGACTACTTTTGACAATTAAATTAGACTTTCAAGTCTAAAAGAACCTAAATTTTACAGTGTCATGAAGTCTGCCGAACAGGTTGATACCTAAATTTTAGAATTTCCTGGTTTTAAATAGCATGAAAACTGTAAAACTATGTTTGGTATCATGGAATAATTTAAAGTCTGAACTAACTACCCTCCAATTCCAATTCCTAAGTGCCAATTTCATGCTCCCAAACGCAATGTAAATCAACGTAGTGGCATCAGCCTGGCCTCAATTTTGAAACATGCATCGAAGGAGTAAAATTTTATTTTGATTTCTTCAGTCCATCTAAATGCTAACCAGACAGTCATAATACAACATATTTGGATACAAAAAAAAGCATGTAAAGTTTTTGAAATTAATTGGAGGCAAAGACACCTACCCAGACTAGATGTTAGCATCGAACATAATAAAAAAGTTCAGTAAAACTTGTTGAGTTTTCCTTTTTTTTTATAATTGAAACAATGTATATAGTTGACGAGCATAGATGGTGATTAATTATATGAATACCACCAGTCCATACACTCACTCCTGCATGCACATAGCTATCCATAGTTCACCACAAAATAATCTACAAATAGTATTTTTGAGAAGAAAATGCATTTTAATAACACTGTAACCGTCTGCCTAAGAAGTGGAGATGACTACATGAATTTGAAGTTATCTACACACTACTCCACTTCTGTAAATCTACAATTTATGCTACAAAATCCATTAAAAATGAAATTAAATATAGAACTGAAAGCAAGGAAGCAGAATGAACCTTTTATCAAATTCATTATTATAAAGCTCAAAATAAAGCCCCAGCACCTCACTTCACTAATTTAATTTGTGAAATTTGAATATGATACAGGAATATGTTACCTAGTAGCCGGAACTTGAAGTCTTTTCTAGAGGCCCTCAATGCAACGTATAGAATGTTTTCATAGAAAGCTTGTTTCCAATAGAAACCCATTTTGCAACCAAATACATGTAGTTACAAAATTACCACTAAATCTTCAATTTACCATAACAGAATTGTTTACCATATTGCAAAATAAATAAACAAAAATCTAATTCCATGCATGTAGAGTTAACAGTTAACACAGTATCTTATACACCAGAGACAGCCACTCAAGTACATTAAGATCTCTATTAAAGCAATTATAATTATCAGTATATAATTCCATCAGTATTAGGATCAAACATATGATTTAAGATGATACTTGAGAGAATTGACAACACAAGATGTTTGTGTATATGAAGACGAATAAAATGCAGCTTTAAGTATAAACAAGTACTGGCAAGAACAAGGTGAAAATCATGAGAAAGCAACTCAACCTGCTTCGCGTACAAGGAGAGCAACAAGTTGTGAACACCAGGATCTTCATTCAACAAACGGTGAACACAAAATTCCAAATATTTTATTACTTCATGGGTTTCATTCCTGCACATATTATATGGTATCAAGAGAATTGATAAAAAAAAAAAATTCTAACAACGAATAAAAATTCAAAAATAAATTATTCCATTCACTAGACGAGATCTTTTAAATGTCATATCTACTTCGAATAGTTGGAGCCCATCAATTAGCAGTCTTGCCTGATCATATAATTGTTAGGTCAATAGGACTTGCATTGGCAAATTTCGTCATCAAAACAAGTCTGTAATTTTTATCTTTGGTTTTAGTAAGACTTTTGAAAGTTAGTGACAAATTAGTAACCTCTTGTCCAATGGCAGAATCAAAAGTAAAGTTACAACAAATGGCAGATTGGTAATCTTCAAAGCCAAGGATACAAAGGTAATTTGACATTAACTGAAATATGTGTGAGGATTAGCTAATTAATTTAAGAGTTTAGGAAAAATCTTATAAGAAAAATGAGGAAAAACAGTCAATAGAAAAATAAAAGAAATTGAAAAATATAAATACGAGTTATTTTCATGAAAAGGGCTACCTATGGAATTTGATGTAGCTACCAAGACTATAGGGTATAATGAATAATCATATCCACCTTGAAAAGAAAAATGGAAATTGTATTGAGTTAATACATTCATGACTTTTCTGAACTTCTGGCTGAAATTCATTCATGTTTTGGAACAAAAATTAGACTCTGTTTCTTGTTTGTGTTAACTATTTTTAATGCACTAAGACAGTGAATTTGTTACTAAGAGATTGTAAATGCACAACATCTTGAACAGACTTGTTGGTTTTATATTTTTGTTTAGTTTAATAATGGTTGAATTTGTAGTGTCCTAAATTGGATTTAGGGTGATATGAATTTTCCAAGATTTTGATAGGAGAGAATTTTTTTTAACTTAAAATAGGTTTTTATAGATTTATAGTTATATATTTAAACAAATGAATTTACAAAAAAAAAAAATGAAAGATTTTAAAAATAACATACAAAAAAAATTAATAAAAAAAGTGCTAACAACCATCTACTCTAAAAGCTTAAAATGTAAGAAAGGGTGTAACTTTAATTTTAAATCCTTCAACATGCCCCCTCACGTGTGGCCTTCTTTGGTCTAACATGCGTTCCAATTTTAGGGGCTGCCCATTCACTACTTGGGCAAGTACGATATAAAAGTACCGCTACTACAAAGAATATTACAACCATGATCGTGAAATATCGATTGCTTGTTGAACCTTGTGAATTGCGTGAAAGTAGGATACTCCAAATTCGGGGGTCAAAGAATTTTATAAAACGTTCTTGGTGAAAAAAAAAAATGTGAATGAAAGATCCCACTGAATTGAATTGGGTCCATGAATCTAAGAAATAGTGAGAATTTTTTATTTGGTGAAAAAAAAAAAAAAAAAACGAAAGATTTTAAAAATATAGCACAAAATATATATATATAATAAATAAATAAATAAAGTGTTAACAACCATCTACTCTAAAAGCTTAAACTGTAAGAAAGGGTGTAACTTTAATTTTAAATCCTTCAACATGCCCCCTCACGTGTGGCCTTCTTTTGGTCCAACACGTGTTCCGATTTTAGGGGCTGCCCATTCACTACTTGGGCAAGTACTATAAAAGGACCGCTACTACAAAGAATATTACACCCTTGATCATGAAATATCAATTGCTCGTTGAACCTTGTGAATTGCGTGAAAGTAGGATACTCCAAATTCGGGGGTCAAAGAGTTGTATAAAACATTCTTGGTGAAAAAATATGTGAATGAAAGATCCCACTGAATTGAATTGGGTCCATGAATCTAAGAACTAGTGAGAATTCTTGATCTTTCTCAATATCTCTCTCAATTCGAAAGGTAAGTTCACCACTTCCTCACCTCAGTGAAAATAGAAGAAAATTCCTACTTTCACGGTACAAGATGGAATAGGACTCAAGACTCACACATTATCAATAAAAGTGAGTAAGACGAATAACATTCCTGCTATCTAAGAAGTAACAAGCATACAAGCTTATCATCAATAATAAGTAAAAAGGATGATTAACATAGATTAATCCGGGAGATGCAAAACCGGTTTCATGCTTAAGGTGAAGTCACTACGAAGACTAGAATGAGGGCGAACCACTTGGAGAAATAGGTCTTGTTCAAACCAAGAAAGAGAGGGAATACCTAACTATACCAACATATTCTCAAAGAGGCTTAAGAAGTTCACTTCTAACTAAGGTTCCAAGGTAATCTAAGCAATACCCAAGCAGTAGTGAGTTTTTCTTTGCAATGTGGCTATTATATATTTGTGATCCTTTGGTGCATTGAAACTAATGCTGGATCTATTGATTGGTTAACCAACTGTAGTAGGAGCCCTACCAAGCCAATACTTGTTGATCCTTTGTTGATCGGATGATTGGCTTAGGAAGTCTCCCAGCTAACACAAAAAGGTGCCTACTTTCTTTTCTGAGGACATCATGTCTCGCCTTCGTCTTCGTAAACTGAAAAGCGTTGGGATCCTGAGTAAAGTCGTTATGACTTATGGGTTTTCTACTAATTCCACGAGAAAAAAAGAGGAAAGTTCTATATTATAACGGTGACGGTGAGGTTTGAACACAGGACCTTGCCTACTCTGATACCATGTTAACCACCATCCACTCTAAAACCTTAAGCTATTAGAGAGTGTGTAACTTGAATATTTAAATCCTTTAACACGCCCCCTCACGTGTACTCTTCTTTTGGTCCAATGCATGTTTCAATATTAATTATCAAGGTGACAGTGACAGTGAGGTTTGAATTTTAAATCTTAGTTGGTAAACCACAATGCACACTTATATAGAGGTAAAGCTTTGGGGTTTTGTATAACCATTTGGGGTGGAGAGGAATAATCTTTAGAGGGGGGTTATATATTCGAAGTTCGGGGAGGAAAGGGGAAGGTGGTGTTACTCGGAAGTGGGGGGCCCGACAGGAGTTGGAGTTTGGAAATTCATTCAGAAGGGATGGGATGAGATTTCAAAGCACATTCATTTTAGAGTTCAAAATGGCATGAATATTCGGTTTTGGGAGGATCTTTGGTGCGGGGATAGCTCTCTAGCCATCATCTACCCAAGGCTCTTCAGGATTGTGATAGATAGTACCAAGGTTGCCAACTAATGTTGCCTTGATAGCGGAGGGATAACATGGGAGGATTGGGAGTTGGAGGAGATCTTCGACTTTTTGGCAGATCTTTATAGTAGAGGGTGGAGGGCATGGGGACGGATGAGTGGATTTGGGTTCCCTCTTCTCAGGGTAGATTTGGAGTAAGTTCCTTTTATTCAATCTTGGTGAGCGCACAGTCTCTCCATTTTCCATATGTGGCCCGTGTGTAGCTTTCGGGATGCGCTCCCCTTTTGAGCGCTATTTATAATACTTTACTTTTCAAAAAAAACCTTTGGGATTCTAAAACTGAATCTTCTCTTGGACAATAGGCGACTAGGGTATCTCTTGGCTGACTTGGCCACTAGGGTTTATGCATGAAAAGACACTTTGTACATGAGGATGACGTGGGCTTATGTTTGTGGAAGCAGTCACTGAAAGCTTCTCCACCTCGGCTATCGTCTCCTACATGAACAACCTGGCGGAGTTTATTTGATAACTCCACCAATTCCTCTTACGTAATCTTGACTATCATTATGGCCTTCGTGATTCTAAGGTTTCGCTTAGTGAAGAAGATGTTGCTGATGAGATTTAGTACTCAAATAACTCTATCATTGGTTAAGTAATGAGCAAGAATCTTTTTTATCCATTCTTTAAAGCCTCCATTGAATGAAGATGGTGCAAAGACTTCAAACTTGTTTATCTCAAAGACATTCTCTTCATGGTCAAGTTTAAATCCTTAGCGGATATGGAATGTGTGTTGCAATGGGCACATACATTTGAAAGACGCCCTATTATCCTTAAACAATGGAAAAAGAATGTTAATCTCGACAAGGACTTGTCAGGGTTGATGCCGATCTGGTTGAGGATCCATAACCATCCCATTCATTGTTGCAATAGGACTGCTGTCTCAAAGGTTTGCTCTCAGTTTTCCAGGCCTCTTTTCCTTAATGATATTGATTTGAGTCGTGATAGAGGTCAGTATGTGAGAGTCATGATCAAAGTAGATGTTTATAAAGATCTTCCAGAATCCATGGTAATTGATGTACATGGGACTGATTGTACAGTTTCTTTTGAATATGAATGTAGACCACAACTCTGACTTTCTGTTGTCGTATTGATCATTTTGTTTCTAATTGCCCCAAGAAATATATAGCTGAATCGAAAAAGAGAAGTGCTGAGAAGTGGGTTGTTAAGTTTAATGGTAAACTAGTTCCTAATGAGGGGATTTCTGGGCAGCAGGATCCTATTAATGTGATCTCCCAACTTAATCCTTTGCGTATGGCAACTCAGAACGCTTTCTCAGCCTTGGACAATGTGGTGAGGATGATACTGTGCCTGAGTGTGATACAGATCTTTCAGATGTTGGAGTTTCTTTAGTGCAAAAGGATAATATTAATGAGGGGGATGTTGCTACTAAATCTGTGCAAAAGGATAATATTATTGAAAAAAAGCATACAACTCTTGATCATAGATAGGTTTTTGTTGGGGCAGTGGAATAGTGCTAACACAAAGATCCAACAAAAGCCAACAAAGCAATCACACAAACACAAAATATAACGTGGTTCAGCCAAAACCGACTTACATCCATGGATGAGAAGAGATTTCACTATGATTTGTAAAGATATTACAACACTAGAGTTCCAACACTGTTTACATGCCTCTTCACCATGTACCAGTCCATGAGCCTATCTCCTCGCTACTAGTGTCACCGGTGTTTTACCTACTCTATCAACACATAAACTACCTCTACCCATCAACTCCCTGATGAAACTACATCTTTCTCAATCTAATAAGTCTCAACCCATAAACTAGGTACCTATTTATAAAGTTCCAAACTCAATTCTTATTGGACAAGGATTACAATTCCTTTGAGCCAAAGACTTGCTTAACAAGAAATTTCCTAACATAATACAACTCTAAAAATAAAAACCTAACTAGAATACGAATTTGATACACAATTTCCAACAATTGTGACGTCTCACATAGCCTGAGGGGAGAGGTTTGATGATACTTATATGTGTGGACACTCCTTAACTGTGTAGATGTGTTTTGAAAACCGTGAGCACTGAAAGGAGAGTATGCAAAGCGGACAATATCTACACAGGGTGGGGCGGCGAGTCATGACAATGGTATCAAAGTCAATCCCCAACCGAAAATGGGGGAGTGTGCACAAACCCATGAGGGTTCGGCCAACGAGGAACTAGGTCCCAAGAAGGGGGTGATTGTGATGTCTCACATATTGTGGGGGAAGAGGTTTGATGAGACTTACATGTGTGGACACCCCCTAACTATGCATACGCGTTTTGAAAATCGTGAGCACCGAAAGGACAGTGTGCAAAGTGGACAATATCTACACAGGGTGGGACGAGCGGTAACAACTGCTTCCAGACTACATCCCTTCAGACAAACAAACATGACATTTCTAGGAGCTTATGCACCATAAGCAAGCTCCCTAACCGTCTTCGATAAGAGAAATTACAAAGATACTTTTGCTCCTAATTCTGGAAAACACAACATTAAAATATTGTTGATAAGAGATGTAAAGGAGATGCACATTACTTCGCATGGGGTTCACTCGAATAACGCATCATTGCTGGAATCAGCTTCCTTGGATTCAGGTTTTTTGTGGTCATCCACGATTCAACAGTTTCATACGCATCAAGCATAATGAGGTCCGGTGCAAACTTGTACTGCAATGTAACCAGAATAAAATTCCTTTCAATGAAGTACCGCGTACATTACAGATCAACCATCTTAGGCAATAAGAATGAAAAGAAAACAAGGTGATGCTGAGAGTGGTAGTGATGGCTGCAGAAAAGGACAGATAACGTATTCAAGAATTATTCCAAAACCCCATGGTCAGTCCATGCTCAATACCTGAAGGTCAAGAGGAACAGCAGGTTTCTGAAGCACTTCTAATGCTTTCTTTGCTTCTCCTTGCTAAATCCAGAACCAAAGAAAATAAAAAAAGACAACAAAAATTCAAATCAATAAATTGATTAGACGATAAATAATGTCCATTCAATGTTTTAACAACTTCAGGAAAAAGAAAACATTGTCATTCACAAACAATAAAATTGCATGAGACAAAACTTGTTATAAATCCTAAATACGAACATTGTAGAAGTCATGAAATTGAGAAAGAAGTAAGAAACTTGTTAACCAATCATAGATATATAAGTTTCATAACTTAGATACGACTGTGAGACTAGCAGTCAAATGCAAGGCAGCTAAGAAGCACGGACATTCCAAAATGGGCGAAGAATCCGTGTCCGACACGTGTCGGACACGGACACGCGTCGGACACGCCCCGACACGCCAAAAAACGTGTCTGGAATTTTTTAATTTTCGGACACGGCTTGGACACGGCTCGGACACGGCTCAGACAGCTCGGACACGGCTCGAACAGCTCGGACACGGCTCAGACACGGCTCGGACACACTTTTCTGGATTTTTTTTTTTTTTTTTAATTTTTAATGCTGATATGTTCTATTACTACCCTAAAGATGCTGATATATATATATACTAACCTAAAGATGCCACAATTCGCCGTGTCCGTGTCCTAAAGATGCTGATATATATATATATACTAACATATCAGTGATATATATATATATTCCAACCTAAACATATCAGTGTTTTTTTTTTTAAATTACTAATGCTGATATATATATATATATATATACTATTCGCCGTGTCCGTGTCCTAATTTTTTTGGATTTGCCGTGTCGCCGTGTCCGTGTCGTGTCGTATCCGTGTCCCGTATCCGTGTCCGTGCTTCTTAGCAAGGCAGGAATTAAAAACCTATCGAACTCGTAGGATCGTGTCCACAAAAATAATCAACCAAGTATTGCAGCAAACATGAAATGTAAAAGCATTGAATCTTCCTATAAAGTTTCAATACAACTACTGCATCTAGAGGCAAACAGAACTATATATGTGCTGATGTTTCACAAAGCTCAAAACCAAAGCTTATTAGTAGCAATATGGAGCCTTCAATGTTAGAAAATGTTGTCACTGTACAAAAAATATGGACGATGGCAAATGATCAAAAGCTGATAAATATATCAACGGTATTTGGTTATCATTAAAGGTTTAAATTGCAAACAAACTGTGTCATATGTTATCTTTATACCTAAGAGACTACTCCCTTTGGTTAAATTATGCCCTGGAAAAGACGACGAGAAATCAAGCTGTTCTGAGTTCTTTTCTAATAAATCTCCAGTTGCCAAGTTTGAGAAGACACGGAGTAATGCTCCATTATTTTGTGCATGTAGTGGCAGATATGAAAAAATGATATACGACTTTCCAACACTAACCAAAAACTCTATTGCCAACAACATGACAATGGAATCTTTAATCTCACCACCAGAAAGGACATTGGCAGCAAATGAAGCAAAAGTTTAATGAACTCCAACTCCTAATCCAGGCCTTTCTAAATCTTAACATCACACCATTTGTCTTGCAAGGCAATCTTCCACCCTATAACTTGTGCCAGAATCTTATATTGGTTCTTTAATCCTACCGCAAGGTAGAGAAAGGGCCAACATTCACCCCGACCCTTCATGAAGCTCTTCCACAAACCGACTCCATGTTATGTCTCAACCCTTCCCCCACCCCCGCCGTGCGCGCCGATAAGTAGCCACTCCATGAACTCCCCTACTCATTCCAGTTTTCTATGATAAATGGAGTCTCTCTATTGCATAACTCCACAACCACTTACCTATATAAGTATCTATAAATCATGCCAGAATCTATAATTGGTTAAGAATCTAACGGCAAAGTAGATAAAGGGCCAAAATTCACCCCACCCTTCATGAAACTCTTCCAGAATCACTCACATGTTATATCATCATCACACTAGATGACCACCCACTACATGAACTCCCTTCCCTCCCAGTTTTCTATGCCAGAGGGGATCTCTCTCAATAACATAACTCTCCAACCACTTACCTAGTTGAGCTTGATTAAACGCCTTCAATTGTCTTAACGCGATTATTATTTGAATATAGCATACTCATTTGCTAAGAGAAATAGGAAATTTGGAATAAAATTAACCCAAAAAAAATAAAAAGTCGGATATATAATTTTTTTTTTTTTTTTTTTGATAAGTCGGATATATAATTAGATATATAATTTTAAGGCCATAAGTTTATCATATTGGCTGCCCTTTTTCTTTCTTATCCTTTTTACCGACCAAAAGAAGGGGTAAAAATACCCCAAGATTTTGGGTGAAATGGTTCGAATGAATTACCAAGAGTAGCTAAAGAAGACTGAATCAGAACTACAAGCAGAATTTGTTAAGACTATCTTGAGGATCTAAGTTTTCTTGACTTACAATAGTTAATTTCAGAAGCATAGGAAGGCAATGTGAACCTCTAATAAGATGAAGTTTGCGGGGACCGAGTTAGGGATGGCAGGGGTATTAGATTTTGGGAGGATATTTGGTGCAGGGACCGCTCTCTTGCATGCTCCTTCCCCAAGTTCTTCGGGATTTCTACAGATAAGCATGCCTTGGTTTTCGACTGCTATTGGCTTGTTAGCGGGAGATTGATTTGGGATGTGCTCTTTTCGAGGCACTTTCAGGATTGGGAGTTGGAGGATGGCACTGGGTTCCTGGAGCTTTTGTATCGTCAGGAGGTGGCGGTGTTGGTCCTGATCATAGGGTGTAGATTCCCTCTTCCAGGGTCAATTTGATGTCACTAGAGGGTTGCTCCCTTATGCATCTGGTGGTGCTTATGGTTAGAGAGAAATATGAGATCATTTGAAGGAAAGGAGACAACTATTGAGACTCTTAATTTCTCTATTATTAGCACCCTTTTTTGTTGGGTTCTAGGGAGAAATTGTAAATCTGTGGAGGAAATTTTTGATATTTTGGGCTCTTTGAGTGTTTGGAGGCCCCATTTGGCCTTGTGTTTCTTTTGTGGGATGCATCCCCCTTTTGGGCGCTTTAATACAATATTTATCGACAAAAAAAGTTTGCAAGCATTTTTTTTTCCTAAATAAGTTTGCAAGCATTGTCTATACTTCTATTAACTTTCTTTAAGCGTGCATTTGATTCAATAATTAGGACCTAGAGCCACTCATGTCTTTTCGAAGTTAAATAAACAGTGATAGTAATTTGTCTCTTAAGAGTCGAATAAACAAGGGATAGTCATACAGATCACTTAAAAGTGATATCCTTTGTACATAGGGAAAAATCAAGGTTTTAGCATGGTATATGTTAACCACCATCTATTCCAAAAGCTTAAGTTGTTAGAGAGGGTGTAACTTTAATATTTAAATCCTTCAACACACTCCCTCGCGTGTGGCCTTCTTTTGGTCCAACATGTGTTTCAATTTTAATTATGAGGGTGACGGTGAGGTTTGAACACAAGACCTTGCCTGTTGTGATACCATGTTAACCACAATCTACTCCAAAAGCTTAAGCTGTTAGAGATAGTGTAACTTTTATATTTAAACCTTCAACATTACTTATCCAAAAAAAAAAACCTTCAACATTACAGATATGAGATTTAAACTTTGTAATCTGACTCTATCATTCAATTTTTGTAAAGGTTCTTGGTTATTTTAAAAACACTAGAAGTCACTCTGGGTCTCATTGAAACCCTAGAAGTCACAATCCCCATGTTCACTCTTTCAGTTTCAGAGTTCAATTTTATTTCACCATTATTTGTTTCTGGGCTAGCTCCTTGTTATTACTTCATAAGTTTTACTTCGATTTCTCTATTTTCACACTAAAAGATAAGGTAAAAGTTATAATTCCAGTGTCCACAGTGGTTCTTCTTAGTGCCCTCTTGCAAACTTTTAAAGTACAGCCTCTACTCCTGCATTATTGGGTACACAATATGAGCCTTCATCTAGCCCCCGTGTCACAGAATCACAAATACAGAGCACTAGAAGAGCTACATATAATTATTCCAGGAAATGAAACTTCATATGTGGTTTTTGTTGTAAAGAATAAAATATAAGTGAAGAGATGGCGACAGAAGTCTATAGCGTTTTGGTTGAAAGAGGGCGATAAGAATACGAAGTTCTTTCATCGCCTAGCAAATGCGCATAGAAGAGGTAACCATATTGGAAGGATTCATTTTAATGGGATCATGGTGTTGAGGGAAGAGGATGTCCGAACCGGTCTTATGGATTTTTATCAAAAACTCTTCACGGAGACTGCTAGCTGGAAGCCATTGCTAGATAGACTTGAGTTTTCGGGGATCTCTATTGAGGATAGGGACTGGCTTGAGCGACCGTTTGGGGAGGAGGAGGTGTTGGAGGCTTTGAGGAGTTGTGATGGTGACAAAGCCCTGGGTCCAGATGGCTTTTCATTGGCTTTCTTCCAACAAAATTGGGAGGTGGTGAAGCCTGAGGTGATGGGAACTTTGAATTATTTTCATTCTGATGGGGTTTTGGAGAAGAGCCTCAATGCTTCCTTTATTAACCTTGTCCCAAAGAAGGGTGGTGCTCTTGAGGCTAAAGACTTTCGACCGATTAGTTTGGTGGGAGCAGTTTACAAGATTCTTGCTAAAGTCTTAGCACTCCGTTTGAGGAGAGTTCTGGATGAGGTGATTTCAGAGTCCTATGATACTTTTATTGGCGGCCGTCATATTTTGGATTTGGTTTCGATTGCTAGTGAGTGTCTAGAGGCCAGGGCTAGAAGTGGTGTTCCAGGGATTATTTGCAAACTCGATATTCAGAAGGCTTATGATCACATTCGCTGGAACTTCTTGATGTATATGCTGGATAGGATGGGGTTTGGCCCTAGATGGAGGAAGTGGATCTATCAATGCATATTGATTGCGCGGTTCTCCATCTTGGTGAATGGGTCACCAACTGGTTTCTTCGCTAGTTCTTGTGGATTGCGCCAGAGTGATCCCCTCTCCCCATTCTTATTTATTATCGTCATGGAGGCATTCAACAGACTGAGGAGGAGGGCAGAAGTGTTGGGATTTATTTGAGGGTTCTCGGTGGGAAACAACCCTAATCAGCTGGTTATCTCTCACTTGCTTTTTGCCAATGACACCATTGTTTTTTGTGATGCTAGGGTGGATCAATCAAGGTTTTTTAGATATGTTCTGGCATGTTTTCAAGTCGTTTCAGGGCTGAAGATCAATATTAGGAAGAGTGAGTTGGTCCCAATCAGGTAAAGGTATGCAAGGCTTAGCAGATATTCTTAGGTATGGTGTAGGTGCTCTACCCATCTCCTATTTAGGGCTCCCATAGGGAGCCATGTCCAGGAGGATATCAGTTTGGGATCCCGTGGTTGAGCGGTTCGAGAGGAGACTTGCAAGTTGGAAGGAGTGATACCTATCGAAAGGGGGTAAGATCATTCTTATGAAGAGCACCCTTTCAAACCTTCCAACCTATTACATGTCTCGCTTCCTGATGCCAAAGGTTGTAATTCAACGATAAGATGAGATCCAGAGGAATTTCTTGTGGGGAGCCATAGGTGATGAGTTCAAATACCATTTGGTGAATTGGGAGAAGGTGTTCTCCCCTCTTCAAAAGTGGGGTTTGGGCATTCGTAGATTGGATTTGTTTAACAAGGTGTTGTTGGGTAAATGACTTTGGAGATTTGGGACCGAGAGGCCACACTCACGGAGGAGAGTTATTGCGTGCCAGCATAGGGAGGGGGATGGTGGGTGGTTGTCTAGGGATGTGAGAGCTCCAGCAGGTATGGGCACTTGGAAGCTTATCCGGAAGGGGTGGGATGACTTCTCCAAACATATCCGGTTCAAAGTTAGGAGTGGAAGTCACGTCAGGTTTTGGGAGGATCGTTGGTGTGGGAACATTGTTTTGGTTCGTAGGTTCCCTCAACTGTTCAGGATCTCTTCGAATAGGCATGCTCTAGTTGCTGATTGTTATCGGATTGATAGCGGAAGGTTGACTTGGGATGTGCATTTTCATAGAGAGTTTCATGATTGGGAGCTCACAAAGGTTGCCAAGTTTTTAGCCTTGCTTTATAGCCAGGCGGTGGAGGGGCGGGATGGATAAGATGGTGTGGGTGGGCACCTCAAGACGAGTGTTTGAGGTTAAGAGTTTTTTATTGCAGCCTTTCGGAGATCCTTGGTCCTTCATTACCGTGGAAGGCAATTTGGAGGTCGAAAGCCCCCTTGAAGGTGGCTTTCTTTGTGTGGTGTGCTGCTCACGGAAGCATTCTTACCCTTGATAATATCAAGAAGAGACGATAGATTGTGGTTAACTGGTGTTGTATGTGTAAGAAGACGGAGGAAACCGTAAATCACTCGTTTCGGCATTGTCCTGTGACGAGAGACGTTTGGGCTATGTTTCTAATTGTGTTTGGCATGTCTTGGGTGTTCCCAAGATGTGGATGGATTTGATTGAGGCTTGGAGATGGTGTCTATTGGAGAACCGAGCCAAGGATGTTTGGAGGGCCACTCTCCTTTGTTTATGGTGGGGTACGTGGTGCGAGAGGAATAGAAGATCTTTTGAGGGAGAGGAGACTCCTATTTGGGCTCTCAAATACAATATTCTGTATACTTTATTCTTTTGGGTGCACCCAAACTCAAGCACAGGTCTTCAAATTTGACAGCCCATTTTTTTTATCAATGCACAATCATTCATTTATACCCAATTCCCCACCTTTTACACTAAAACTTATCCATCATCATACCAAATAATTGCATATTGGTGACTATTGAGCTAGGCTACTCCATATAGACCTGAAAATCAAAATCAGTAAAAAGCCAAAGAAGTGACAGCAGACCATTGAATCATAAATGGTGATCAACAAAAATCTCCAAAAGAGTTAAAGTAGTAATTTAAGAAATTTAAATACTGGACAATAGGACTAGGAAAGCAATCTAAATTGAAGCTCTCAAGGAAAGAATTATGAACAGCTACAAAGAATGATACATTAACAGTATTACCCAAAGAAGAGGAAAAAAAATGGAGAAGGGAAGCACCTGAATATAATGATGAATAACAATCTCATATTGCTCCTTTAGGCTAGCAAAATATACCAATTCATCAACTCTACCATAGCTGCAGGAAATCAGAAACCCCCCCAAAAAAAAAAAAATATCAGTACGCTTTGACATAGAAAAATAAGATATTAATGACGTAATGAAGAAACAACCTTTGGTATTCCAATGTACACATAGTTATGCATCATGAGTAGCAAATAGTGGGTAAGGTTTTTTAAATTGGTTGATAATACTATAACTCTCGTGCCTTAAAAGTGTAAGCAGATTCCATGTGCCAGGTACAATAAAGAGAGAAAAAAAAAATGAATTGAACAAAAAAGAAGTTGTTCGTTTACATCTGTAATTACTGTACAAAAAGATAAAACAAATGAAAGGACTGCTCACCAGATCTAGAAAATTTACTAGAACAATCTTCGTAATAATAAAAAACAGAAATTAAGAACAAGAGAATAAATTAAGACGGTTTGGCCATGTGCAACAAGACCAAAGCTGCACCAGTGAGGAAGAGTGACGTGGTCCACATTGATGGTAATACTAGGGGAAGGGAAGTACAATACTAACATCCCATCCTAATAGTAGTAAAGATCTAAAAGTATTTCATTTGATTGAGGTTGTGGCCAGAGACAGAGCGAAATGAAGAAACAAGATTTACATAGCCGCACCCAAATGGTTCATCAACACTAATATCGATTGAGATGGTAAGGAAAGATATAAAAGTATTTCATTTGAATGAGGTTGAGGCAACAGATAGAGCGAAATGGAGAAACAAGTGTAGCTGCCTTGAAAGAGTTGGAAAAAATTTTTAGTTGAGTTGATCAGAGCTGAACTAGGAGGTTAAGCATGCGGAAATCCAAATGAAAATTCTTTTACCAACATAAAATTTCTGAAGTTGGGGTAAAATTCATCTGTCCTGATGAATGGCATAATGGAATTAGGGAGAAGATAAAGAAATATAAAATGCTTTACCTCAAAGATTCCAGTAGAAAAAGGAAATCCCAATTTAGATATAATAAGTATGCTTCCCAGAGTAATACATTCTAAAATTTGAGGGTTCATCTTGCGCTTAACGCAATCTATTTGTACAAATTAAGTGCCATTTAAGATTACGGTTTATAGAAAGAACATTGCAGAATCATACAGAAGGTACATATCAATTATTTATGAACATATCATATGGTAACAGTGGATGAAAGACTTTACTTCTACTGATTCTATAAAATAGATTCTACAAGGATACATAAAAATGTGCAATGGGAATATAAAATTAACACCCCAAAAAATAAATAGATATTCCAATAATGGACCATAGCAATAATATGCCTCAGCATGATAAATACCTAAGCAACAGACACATTAGAAATTTGTTTGGTCATCCACCTCCCATATGATAAGATGGCTAAAAGAGAGAACTCAGAGTAAAACCCATCCTAACACAACTGCAGAAACAAAAAATGCACTAAAATGCATGCCAATTATGTCCCTTCCCAACTTTGCTATAAAAAAGAGTGTGCCCAGGTCAAGGATTATATATACTAATAAGAGAAACAGTCCGAATGGAAAAAAGCACCAACCTGCAACTATAATCACTAGAGAAAGCTACCTCGGAAGACTCTAACATGATAACCATCTCATCAACCACACTAGATTTGTGATATCAAAGTAAAGACATGGAATCCTCTACTTCACAAATTACCCAATTTCAGGGATTCCCCAAAAAAATTAGGGAACCAAACTACAACATAAACTGATTTATCATAGCGATTAACAAGATTGGCAATTTGCTCGCTGAACAATTTAAACTATAGGAATTTCCAATACCCTCTAGCACTTCGTTTGTATGTGGACATCACTTTGATGGATGGAAAGCAAGAAACTTCTCACCAGAGAATGAGTCTAAATTTGGAGCACCCAATGGCACTTCCCAACATCATTCATGTTAACTTTTTTGCATATTACCATTAAAATTACAGAGATAGGAAGATGAGTATCTCAATGCAAAACAACAAAATTGTAAATTAAAGATAAGAATAGAAGACCAGAGCGTACAATCATACACTCATATCAACAGGTCAAAGTAAAAAAAATATTGTTTACAAATCAAAACATACATAACCTCTCTAATAGTTTCATTGTTGTTGCCTCATCCAACACATCCTTGCAGTCACTAAGAAAGGCACGAAACTCTTTAATGATCGCATGGTACTCTGAACTATGATTCTCTGACACAGTGTCATCTTCTAGAAGTAGTCGGTTGATCTAAAATAAAAACATAGAAAAATTAAAACTAATAAATATCATTTTTAGGAATACTATACATTGAGATAGATCCCATCTCATACTAGAAAATCAAAGTGACAAGTAACAAAAAAATTTAATGTCCCATGATATTTAATAAAGGTAAACCCATCAGAGATTCATTACTACAATATGATAATATAGTTTAATACACAATAGAAGTAGAAACATTTTTTTTTCCTAGTCGGTACTCACACACACTGCCTCCACTGAGGTTCGAACCCCTGACCTTCCTTTGGAAAGTAGGGGCCTTGTACCGCTAGGCCACAGGCCTATTGGTTAGAAGTAGAAACATTAACCATGAAGAAGACTGAACATGTATTCGAGAAAACAAATTGAATTTGTGATATGTCAAACATGTTAATCCAGGCTGTCTCACGTAGACTCTCTCCTATTCACCTCAATATAGCTGTGTTGACACCACACAACATGGGTATGGCCATATAGGTATGGGATACATGTCCGAGACACATCCAGATCGAAAACTCAATTCCTATACACGTGATGATAGCATAAGCTTAAGTTTTGATAGCAAAGAAGGGTTCCCTACTTCTAAGATAGATAGAATCCACTTTTATTAACCTCATCCCATTTAATTTAAATTATATTTGAGTATATTCTTAAAGATTAATAGTATCATGTGTTACACTATTAGTATAGCATATTATGTATCCAATGTTTGGGACATGTCCACGCGCTCGTATCCAACTTTTGGACACATTTCAAACCAAGTCCGAGTGTCCTAAGATTTGGGATGCAGGGAAGTTTGGCACTTCAACCAGTAGCCACACCCAATGCACATACCCAAATCCATGCAACATAAATCTAAGGCTAGATATCAATAATTGATAAGTCTGATATATTAACACTTCACTGAATCAACATGAAATCCAGAAAACAGTGAGCATAACAAAGCACATGCCATCATGGTTCATTAAGGTTGATGTGCTGGATGCTGCATATCCATTTAATGCACCAAAAACTGTGCTAGTCTCCTTGCTACGTAAACTCCAGATGGGTTAAGGCAGTAACCATCAAATTACTATTTTAGCTTCCTTGAGTCAAAATGAAATGAAGAAAAGGAAGTAATACAATGCTCATGGGAAAAAAATGAAAAAGAAGAATAAAGAATCCTAATGGTTCACAGTCATGGAACAAACACCAAGAAAGGGATTGACAATGCTAGTTCTGTGAACTGCTGTCAATTATTTATGAGTAGATGTTTATGAAGCATAGCCTTGCCTCCACCATGGACAATCTTATTAAGTATGAGCATGAGTATCTTGTTCCCAATGTACCAATCTTGAGTAATATGGTATTTGCTAACAATAACTACATCAACAATTTGAAGCACTTTCAGTAAATAAGAAATGCGGGTTCCAATTTAATAAACTACAGTTAACAATAATTCTATGGTCCCTTTCATTTTTTTTATCCCTTTTTTCATTAACGCTAAAAGAAAATGATCTATACTAGACAACCAAGAGATGCAAAAGAAACTACTCCCCCATCCCAATTTAGTTGTTCATCATTCCATTTTGGGTTGTCCCAAAATACTTGTCCACTGAAAAAGTTCAACCAACATATTTCACATCTTTCCATAAAATACCCTTGAAATTTATAAAATAAAAATCAAACCTGATTATATATGTATTCAAACTTGAAAGTGTAACTTGGTAATTTTTAAAGGGGACAATGTAATAATTCATGTCTCCTTAAAAAGTTCTACTCCCCAAAAGGGACATCTAATATAGGACAGAGGGAGTACAAAATATCAAGAATTGAGCAAGCATCCATTTATGTCACGAATCTCTCACAAGTTTAGATTTTAAGAAACACCTTTAAACAACCCAAGAGATTTCTGACCTAAACGTAAGTAATTTACAAAATAATGACGAAATTACATGGTTCACAAGCTTACTGAGCGCAACCAGAAATTAGTTGAGCTCAAGTTGTTGACTCATTGAGTAATTGTTAACTCAAACCCTTGTAATCTTGTAAGTGATCCTGCAAATAGATGACCCAGTTCAAGCAACTCCATCTGTAGAATCGATGACAATTTAGAAGATTTATGGTAAATTTTACACTGTTTAACTGAATTAATTAGAAACAATCAATAATTAATAGAAAGAACTTCAATGAGAGGATATCATCACTAAAGGCGAATGGAGAAACGATGTAGAGGGAAAGCAAGAGGAAGGTCCACCAATTCCAAAAGAACAGTGGCAACAACATAATTATCTTGAGTCCAATCTTTCCCAAGAGAAAATACTGTCGTAAGCATAAAATTCACTACTAAATTCACAGAGAAGGAAGTGGAAGTATATCAATTGTTTCGCAAAAAACCTAGGTAGCAGTGCACCACATCAGCCACAAACCCTCCATATTAACATAACACTCACTATTCACTTCTAATAAGCTGGATAAGGTTGAAACATAAAAGACATCTTGTAGGTTCAGATCACTCATCAAGTACCAACATCTAAAATATAACTCTCTTCACTGTCTAAAGCATTAAAGCTACAGTGTGGATTGTTAAAGAGGACTCGAAAAGAAACCATAAGTGACAAGGTGCAGCAAAAGGTGGGGGTAGAAGTCCCCCCCCCCCCCCCCCCCCCCCCCCCCCCCCACATAAGAGATGGAGAGAGAAAAACAAAGCACCATACCCGTAGCCAACGGGTCGGAAGACCAAACCTAAACTACCCATTTTTAAATAACTATCATTTAGAAGCACCAAAAAACAATTGGGTCACAAGTTACTCTTGGAATTAAGTATGAATTGCCCTACAAAGATTGCGTTGGTGTGACATATGCCTCCAGTGCGACAGAAGACCACATTGGACCAAACACCTGATTTCTTTCTTTCTTTCTTTACCAACGGGCCAGTGGCCTAGCGGTATCGGCCTCTTATTTCCTAAAGGGATGTCAGGGGTTCAAGTCTTAGAAGAGACGTGTGTGAGTACCAACTAGGAAAAAAAATGAGATAAAAGACAATAAATATTAAATAAATTTACAATGATTATTAGTTAATAGTTTGAGCTAAACACAAAGCAAAGCAAATATTATTTAGTAGAAGTTACATATACACCCCCACTGAGAGAGAGAGAGAGAGATCATCAACACCCAAGTAACCCAACAGGTTGGAAAACTAAACCTAAATGACTCATTTTTTAAAAGCTATCAATGAAGCACCAGAAAAACAAGTGTTTTGTGATTAACAATGAGGATTAAGGATACAACACACAAGTGCTTCAGCAAACAAATACTTTAACCATGTGAACATTTTGGCAACGGAGAAAAACACAATTATCACACTGGTGCTTGGACTTGAGTTGTGTAGACTGATTAAAAAGCAGTCCGAAATTCGAATATACCTCAAATTTTTACGCTTTTCAGGTAGATTTTTTTTTTCCCCCTCCTTTCCATACAGACCATTATGTCTGCATATTGATATATAAGTTTTAAGTACAAAAGGTGGCACAATAAAATGGTTCCAAATTACAGAAATATATTGGTAATGTAAGCTACATCAGATAGAGCTTAATAAAGAGAGAAAGATAGCCAAATGATTCCAGCCAAGAGCAAGGAATATAGAGGAAAAAACCTTGTCCAGGTACAATTCAGTTGCCCAAGTGGAAATCATTGTTATTTGGCACCTATCATCCTTTGCAAGATTATCAAGCTTCCGCAATAAGAAGGTTCTCAAAGCATCCTGCAAAAAGTGGTGAATTTGTATATTTACATCTCCAAATTCCAAATCAAAGCAGCTCTTTGATGCACGAGTTCTTACAACAAGAGAATGGGGCTCAAAAACTTTCTATAACCCCAATAAAAAATAATAAAAAGTGTTAAATCATGATGGTATTGCCTGTACTTAGAGAAGCTTCATAACAATGCAACTCCTGATTTAGCCTCCTTTGCTATGTTAGACAATATAATATGTAAATGCGTTATACAAGGATCCACATGGCCAAAGCATGTTAAAAGTCACGGTCGTCTGAGGTTGCCTCATTAGACACCTCAAATACATGTTGGCCATTAGCAGCACTCGTCATAAAGTAGTAACTACCTAATAGACATTACAAATTCATATAACCTACACATTAATCCAATTAATAAACCTAAAAAAGTTTCAAGCACATATGAATGTAAAAAAGATCCTGTAAAATTTTGTTCTTTGGAGTTTCATAACTCAAAATGGCTAAAAGGGAGGACTCAAATATAACAATGAAGTGATCAACATAAACCAAGACATGAAAGCAGACAAAGTGCCCCCTTTAAATTAAGAATCATATAAACATAACAGCGGACTTGACACAGATTGCATAATTACAATTACTGCTGTTAAAGGAGCGCCTAGGTGTGCACCTAGGCTCCAGGCTCATATAGGCGCAACACCTGCGCCTGTTGTGTGCCCAAGTGCGCCTTTGACAACATTCGTGCTTTTAATATGGAATATGAATATGATTTAATAGTGATTTAATTTTTCAATTATGCGCCTCACTTCAATCAGGCGCGCGCCTAGGCTCCAAAGGACCTCTAGCGCCTTAGTGCACCTTGGGCCTTTGATAACACTAATTACAATATTGCCCCTTTAACATTTTAGTTATAATTTATCCAATGAATTTTTTTTTTCCTAAATAAACTTTGATTTAGAGTGTAAATACCATCCCCTTTTCCCATTACCAATATATTGCTGTAAACGTTTTTTTTTTTTTTTTTTTTTTTGACAAGTAAGATTTTATTTTTTCATATAAGTAAAAAATTCATTCAAAGTGTTCAAAAGGGGAACGCGTCCCTCAAAAACAAACACAAGGCCAAAAAGAGCCTCTAAATCCTTAACGAATCCAGAAACTCTACAAGCTCATCAGAACGCATCCCTCAAAGCTACACAAAGCTAAATAGGGCCTTTAAACTCTCTAAGAGTCCAAAAAATAACACTCCTCCATGGATTTACAATAACTCCCTAGAAACCAACAAAAAAGAGTACTAATGATGGAGAACTAAAGTGCACCAATAGGAGTCTCCTTTCTTCAAAGGATCTCCTATTTCTTTCAAACCATAAACACCACCAAACGCACAAAGGCGTGACCCTCCAGAAATCACGAACTTGGGCCCCCACTATACAACATCATCAAGCCCCAACTAAGCCTCTGGAAACCTGGGCATTACCCACCGAACCACAAACAAACCCAAAAAACAAAGCCCAGCCACTGGGCAATGCAAAAGAAGGTGATCAATCGTTTCCTCATCTCTCTTGCACAGGTAATCAATTACCTCCCACCACCTCAAATCGAAGTAATCAATTACTACCACCAACTTTCACCAAAGAATTAAATTACCAACAACTTCTAACACCACTGCCATACTTATTGCTGGGAACCCTTATTCTTGGTATCAGCATCTTTAATAACAATCTACATTCATCACAAGTTTAATAACAGCTTCCATGAACCAAGACTCAAAATTAATTATTTTAAAAAGGATCATGCCCCTTTTTGGAACCTTTCATGGAAGTATCTATTAGATGAACTCGAAATTAAAGTTTTTACTTTTTTTTGGGGAGACTTAATCACACATTGGAGGCAAAAAGGAGAAGAAAATGCAGGGAGAAAAGGCATGGAAAAGCGACAGGAACATAGCAAGAGAAGAAAGTTAATGGAGAATCCCCAAAAGCCTCAGGGAGTTGGGGAGAGAGATAAATGAGGTTGGTGATGAAGAAGTTGGGAATGCAAATTGAAGGAAGGATACGATAGTTAATATGAAAAACTCAACAAACAACACGGAAGTCACTAGCCAATATGAAACATTCAACTGGAAAAATAATATTTCAAAACGTTGCACATGAAATAACATAAGACATATTTAATTACCGATTCTATTGACAGCATTGCATTAGCCAAAAACAAATTGCAAACAAGAACTTAAACACTTAATCAATGACAAAAAGTGCCCATTCAGCATGGTAAACATTTTAATGAACCTCCACGTATCTTTAGAAGGATGAAAACATGAAATAACACTGTGATTACCTGCTCGCTTAGACTAATAAACTTCAAAGTGATCTCTTCAAATGATAATATATAATTAATCTGCAAAATGAACTACTTTGGGTAAGCAAATTGTCAAAAATGAAAAGAAAAAAAAAAAAAAGCAATAGTCCTATTCTAGATAAATGAACAAGTAGAATAACAATGTTATTTTTATAAATAAATAAATAAATATAAATAAAAAATAAAAATAAAAAATAAAAAACCCTTCAAGCACAGAAGGCATCAGTGCTAAAGTGAATAGATGTCATTTTCCCAAATGAACAGCATTGTCCTTGAACTTAATGAATAAAAGTGGCCTTTTTGCTATCATACAGCATAAACCATGGAGAGCATAATGAACTATCTGATGGTCTTGAACCAAGACCGTCAGTTACTCAAGGAATTGTGTAAAAATAGAGCTGTAGCCTGTGACACTAAAAATTAGTTGTCCATCAACATCACTTGGTAGCAGGGGCACCTAAAGAACCAAATATAGAAGATTGTAAGGGCATTGAGAACCATTATCAAAGGATGAGTTGGCAGTATACCATTAAACAGACTATACTAGTGGGAATGAGGGAATGGACTCATAGATCTACCCCATAGCACCCAGAAGCTGCCTCTTGGAGAAGTCTGGGCCATGTGTCAATCCCAGTGTGGCTGTCATCCTCTTTGACCTCCCAACCCCATATAATATCAACAGTACTTACATGATATGTCAGTTCAGCCCATCTAAAATACCACTCTAAGGATACCCTCCGGCAGCCCAGCCCACAAACTACATGACTTTGTCGGCCACAAAACACTCTTCAAAGCCCACTTTTGTTTAACATTAACCATCAAAGTTCATAAATAAAACTTCCATTTCGGTCAGTAGCAAGAGCACAAAGACCCCTAGGGCCAAGAGAAATTTTATCTGATATAAAGTATTAAACCATCAAACAATTATTGGAAATCTGAGCAATAGTATGGGGAAGGAACATTCCCACTTTCTGCATTACGATGCTGCTGAGGAGGCAGAAACTCTTGGGGACTGCGCAAACTGTTAAATATTGTGAATCACGAGGATAGTGAATGAGTATTAAGCACAGCTTTTGTGTCAATGTAGATCTCTAAGACAAACTATAATAGACTTTCAAAAGGCCTGGACATTAGCAGATGGTGGTTCATCAAGAAGTGAAGTGAGCACTTCTTGGCAAAGCGGATCTCTTCTTGTACGCTGGTCATAAGTCACGCTTTTCGCATCCAAATGCCTTGCCATCAAGCATTTTAAGCAGTCTTAAGTGTAGGCAGTGCCCTCTTCCGTAGCCTCATATAAACACTCCAACAAGTTACGAAGAAGGGCAAGAAGGAAGACAAGATTTTACAACCCAGGTATTTAGAATCAAACCTAAACAGAACAGCGTACAGTCAGAGTCTCCGAAAAGTTACCTTCAACATTTTTTTTTTTTTTATAGGCAAGAAACACACATACACCACTCACACACCCACTTTGCCCCTTTGGGGACTCGAACCCTTACCATCCGCTTTGAGAGGTAGAGGAGATACCATTGGGCCACAAGGCCCTTGGTAAGTTACCTGCAACTTATTAATGCAATAAAATTGTGGCCCATAAATTTGATGTGTAGATTCTTGTGAGAGAATGCTTCTGAGATTGAAAACCAGAAGTGGCATTATAATAGAGAATAGTTGCATGCATAAAAAAAACCTAGATATAATGGAAGACGAAAATCATTGGTCACAAACTCAAAATCACGTGGACTGCAAAGAATCATGAAGTTGGCTAAATACTTTCTGAAAAGCAAGAAATAAGTTTCTATAATAATCAGTTCTAAAATCAAGGTCAATAGCAGAAGCTCAAAGCAGTGTTTATAGTTCTTTCTTGCTTTGCAAGCCCACTACAGTTGTGGATAAACAAGGACAAAGAACCTAGACATTGGCAAAAGGAAACAATCTGAAACACAATAGAGCACATTTGCACACAAGGGGGCAAGCATGCTAAAAATTCTAAGAAGTTGGAATAGGAATGAATCAACAAAAGAAACAAGAAGGCCTGAGAAATGCTAAAACTCGAAAGTCTCTTTTATTTCTTTAATTTTCTTTCTCCATCAACAGAATTTCAGTCTCTATTATTTATTTTTTTTTGTTTTTTGTTTTTCCCCTTTATGCAACAAATCTGGAAGGCCAAGGAACCAAAAGAGAAAAATACCAGTGGTGGAATCACGAGGATCATTTAACAAATACACTACTTCTCTGAAGAATGAAACCCAATGCCAGATTGAGAAATGTTGCATTTGAGATATAAAAAAATCAGGGGAATTCCATTTCCTTTGGGAAGATTAAGTTTATATATGACAGGTTTACTTAACCTGGGTACTTTACTCTTCTTTTTTTTCAATTTTTTTTTTTTTTTTGATAAGTAAAGATTGTATAAAGAAGCGTTCAAAAGGGGAACGCATCCCTCAGAAAATACACAAGGCCTAATAGGGCCTCTAAAGTTTCAGAGAGTCCAGAAAATGCACAAGGCCTAATAGGGCCTCTAAACTCTCTGAGAGTCTAGACAAATGCACAAGGCCTAATAGGGCCTCAAGGGTAACGTACATATAAAAAATAAAAATTAAAAAAAATAAAAAAAACACATGAAATATGTTCGAATTTGCAAATGAAACCCTTGAAGTATACTTTGTGCACAATATCCCCTGAACTATCACATTTTGTTGCAAAATGCCCCCATGCCTGGGCTATTTAGCCTATTATTTATTAAATGACCATAATGCCCTTTCTTATTGAATTACACTTAATACATTTTTCTTATTCTTATTATTATTATTATTATTTTTTTGATAAATAAAGAGTATATTAGAGAGCGTTCCCCGTTTGAATGCATCCCGAAAGTTGTACAAAGAAAGGTCCTAGGGACCCGAAGAACCCAAAAAAATCCATGATTTCATCTAAACATGTACAATTTCTCCCCATCACCCAACTAAAAATAGAACTAATAATAGTAAATTTCAGCACCCCAATGGAAGATTCCTCCTCCTCAAAAGTTTAAACCAAGTATAATAAGTTTTATTTTAACTAGTAAATTTTAAATAATAAGTTAATTATTTTAGAAAATGCAACTCTATTTTTTTTTTCATATTTATGATAAATTGATACTAATAATAAAATTATGGTAAATGGTATAATTAATATTTAGATAAGGCAAAAATAATAAAAATAATTTAATAAGAAATGACAAATTTAATGAGAAAGGGTAAAATAGTATTTTGTGATGGGTTTGTCCTTAATTGCAACAAATTATTAGTTCATGGGGGGTTATTTGCAAAAGGGCAATAGTTCAAGCGGTTTTTTTTTGCACTTAACCGTAAGATCAAATCATGTAAAAATCAAAAACCCTAATCCATGCATGCATGAACCCCAATTGGGTGAATGCATTAATGTGCCAAATTACCTTTTTACCCTTGTAGAATATTACTCATATACCCCTGAATGTAGCTTGAAATTCCTTCTTCAACAAAGTGTAGGAAGTAATAACTAACACCAAATTTTGAAATTTCTAAACAAAACTATAAACTAAAATAATAATTACAACACTATTTTGCCTATAAATATATTATCATAAGGAAAATCCAAAAAACACAGAGGCTCATTTTTTAGACAGTTCTTAAGAAAAATACGAATATACTCTATTTTTCCTCTTAACATTCGCCATCTACCTTAGATTGGTGAGTGTAATATGAGTGTGTTTGCATCAAATTTGCTATTAAGCTAATCCAGGAAAGTTCAACACCAACGATCATTCAATCAAACCAAGATTGGAGTGGACGATTGGTCAATGGAGATCAAGTCACTAATTGGAGAAGCAGATTCGTGAGGAGATTTGTTGACGAGCGGACTGTGTGCCTGGAGACTCGAGTGTGAACTTCGGTGGATTAGTTTGTGTCAATATGTAACTCTAGTGCATTTCTCTCTCTCCTAGTGGATGGTTCCTATGCATGGACTAGGTCATGTGATTTTTCACGTTTACATTTTCCACGTAAATATCTTAGTGTCGATTACTTTAGCTTCTTACTGCTTCATTCCATTTCTGCTTGGTTGATATGTTGATTAGCATGAAGGACCATCTGGATTTTATTTCTTACCTTTAATTTGAATTTGAAATTTAGGTAAGTTGATTACAATTCAAATAGTAGTAAAAAAAAAAAAGGTAAAATAACCAACAAGATCACCTCCCCTCTAGGTCAAGAAACAGACCTTGCACTAACTCTTAATTAGAGCCTAGGGTTCCACTCCTTACCCCCATGAAAACTCTACACAAGAACTCAACCTTTGTTTCCATATTGCTGTAAATTAAAAAATTAAAAAATAAAATAAAATTTACTAGACAGTAAAATGCAATATTCTAAAACAGCAGCAGCAACACCAATAAAAGCTTAGCATAATGAGCAATTTGGTTTGCATGAGGATTACGGTCTAAATTAGCAATAAGACTTCAAAATCCTGTCAATGCATTGTATATTCAGATCAAGAAAAAGACAACTCACCTTTGCATAAAAAGATGCAGCTCTGAAGAAATCCTTGTCAGAAAAAGCAGCTTCAGCCTGCAGCACGACAATTCCATTCATAAACTACTCGAATGATACAAGTGTCAGTACAAGAATGTATGTAACGTAACCATAAGGTGATATGCTTTCAGAACAGTAGTGATGCACCACTAAACAAAAGTTTATAATCAGAATAGCCATCACTATATTTGCAAAGCAATCAATTAGCCATGACCTGCACTAGATATACTTGGTCTCTCTGGAATTGATCACGACAATTTACCAAAGCTGCAGCATAATCCCCCAAATCCAGGTACACCTTCCACATATCTCGGCCTTCATCATTCACAGACACCTGAACTCTATTCTCAGTTCAGCAAATGGAAAGATGACAGCATGTGCTGCAACATCAAGAAAGAGAGCTTAAAAACGATATTGCCATTTGACAAACCTGAAATATAGAGTTCTGGTCATATGTGTAGAACAATCCTGCAGAGGCATCACTGCATAATCCAATAATGCCCTTTGAAGCTGGCTCTGGTGTTTGATCAAATTGAAGTTCCTCTATAATTTGCTCGCTTATTCTATTCACAACCTACAAGACATTGGGAAAATATGGCATAGGGGAAATATTTATCAATTCCTATCAGAACCAGATGAAATATTCTCAAACTTTGTGCTCAATTTGCATAAACATTAGAAGATAAAGAACCTATATGCTTAAAACTTATTATCAGGATACCATGTAGTTGATATATATATAGTTCACACACACTTCACATTGTATATTTTAAAAATAAATCATGTCTGTCTACGGACGCACCTTAACCTTATTCCCAATAAGAAGGAGAAAATGGAACTCAGACACAGCCAGAGAACTAGGTTTAACTGCTTCAGCACCTTCACACAATTTTGAATAGTTCAAAAGAGCCTTGTTCTCCACAAAATTTTCATCCCCATCAGGTGAACTATGCACAAGGTTTTCAAAAAGCTTTAATAAGTGAATGTTACTGACAGAACAATTTTAAGTATTACATAACATAAATAACAACACGAACAAATACAAAAAATGAATTTAGGTTAAAGAGAGAACCAAATATCTAGAATTATAAAAGCAACAACTACTATAATTTAAGATGGATTGTTTCATTCATGTAAATGAACCAAAAGCCAAGGATGTTATTTTCTACCTATGGAGTGCTCCAAAATTCAAGCCACCATGATAGATCCCTGCTCCAGAAAGCCAGGCAAAGTGTACAGCCCTTCTTTGCTTTATAAAAAAATGCAGTTCACTGCAACATAAGCAAAATGGACCTCATCTCCAAAATAAAGAATATAATTATAAGACTTTTGTTTCCAACCCAATGAATCACCAATGAATTAATTATAGAAGAAAAAAGAGAACTCCTTCAACCTTAATATCATAACCTGTTTAAAAAAATAGCAGATTGAAGAGAGAAATTAAGTATGAATAACACAAGAATATAACGTGGTTCAGCCACTACAGCCTACATACACGGCACAAAGTTCAAAGGGATCTTTTTCATTATATTCTCCCTTAATTTTATTTAGAATTTTCACCTCTATTTTTAGGTGAAAGAATACAAACATGTGATGAATATGAAAAATATATAGATGGAGGTTTCCTAAAATAAATCCCATGAAACTCCTATCAATATCTTACCAAGGGCTTAAATAGTTCCAATACTGATATTCTCCAACACTCCCCCTCAAGTTGGTACACAAAGATTTTAACTCAAGTGTCCAACTTGAAAATAAATATATTGTGGAGACAAATTGTTGTCGAATAACTATAAATAGAGTCTACTAGAGTGAAGAACATGATCGCAAATATTTGATCAGAAAACATGGCATATAACCAACAATATGCGTTTAAGCATACCAAAATAACTCTGCAACGATAACGAGGTGACAAAAGATTATGAGATTTGGTATAGAGGCTCCCCCTGAATGATATGGTCACAAAGGCACTCCTTTGCCTAACAATATGAGAGTGAAGGGGAAAGCAATTGAGTGAAACAAGTGGAAGACCAATTTGAAGTAGGGTATGATCAACCTGCTCTAATACCATGTTAAAAAATATAAGATTGAAGAAAAAAAAATTAAGTATGAACAATACAAGAATATAGAATGGTTCTGCCACTACGGCCTACACAAAGCCCAAGGGCTACATCTCTTTCATTATGTTCTCTCTTAATTTTGTTACAATGATCACCGCTATTTGTGGGTGCAAGAAGACAAATATGTGATAAATATGAAAAATATATTGATGGAAGATTCCTAAAATCAATCCCATTAATCACTCCTATCAATTAATAGTTCCTATAATGATATTCTCAAACATAACCAAAACTGGATGAATTAATTTAGATTAGCTCTACCTCTACATACGATTGCACCAATGCTCAGTACTAAGCCCATATTTATTTGCAATAATTTTTAGATGGAATAAAAAAAGACCTCCAAGGAAACATTCCACGGTTCATTTTTTTGTGAGTCACACAGTGTTATTGGATCCTTCTGATATAAAATTTGCAACAAAATTAGAAATGCACTAGAATCAAATGGATAGAAAATTAGTAGGATTAAAACATAATAAATTGAATGCAGCTTTAGTAAAGATTTAGTTATTGATCTATCACTTTTCAAAAACCAAAGGATTGTCCAAAATAATTACTTTCAATATTTAGGATCAATAAAACAAAAGGATGGAGAGAGAGAGAGAGAGAGAGAGAGAGAGAGAGAGAGAGAGAGAGAGAGAGAGCTAATAGGATTGGATAAGGTTGGACATAAAGTTGCATTTTATGCGATAAAAGAATAAAGATAAAAGGGAAGTTTTATTAGATATTTATTAGGCCAACCACTCTATATTGATGAGAGTGTCGGGCTTTAAAAAGAAACAAAAACAATGCATTCATAAAACGAAAATGTATATGCTAAGATGGGTAGTCGGAATGACTAGAAGAGATAGGCTTACTAATGAAAATGTGAGGAAAAAAATATGAGTGGTGCCCATTAGTGATAACATGGGATGAAGTTATTAAAAAAAATATTTTAAAAAGTTAAATATAAAAGGTGAGATGGTTTGTAATAGGTATGAACGGAACAATAGAATTCATGTGGCCAATTGCATTTATATGGGGATTAAGGCAAGGGCGATGATGTTTCAAGATCAAGCTCATGATCAACCTACACTAGACTAGGCGGCAACCCTGAGGGCAGAAATTAGATAAGGATTCCATGGTTTCTGAATTAATGTTTTTTTGTAGAGATATTTTGTGTATGTGACATATATTTGGTGCTTTCTTAGTTATGAAGTTCTCTTATCTATTTTGTGTTTCCTTGGTTGTTAAGGAAACTTTTTTATGCCTATAAATAGCCATATGGGTAACAAAGATAATAGTTTTTGGATTGAGTTAGAATATTGAACTGAGTTCAAGTTTTCTCCCTCTAAATTCTTCTTCTCTTCTCCTCCATCTCCTTACCTAATATTCTTGATCTTATCTCTGTATCTATCTATTCTACGTCAATTCTGTTCTCTATCTGTCCTGCATCTATCTCACCCCCAATTCTGTTCTCTAGTTCTCTTCCTAATTGTGTCTACACTTCAGTTGCAACCAAAGCTAAAAATACCAATAAAGCTTCTATCCGTCCTGCATCACAGAGTCTCCATGACAACATCACAATTTGAATAGTTTTCTGTTCAACAACCCTAAGAGTACAAGATACTGAAAAAGGCCAATTCATAGACTCTGCGCTACCACAAGGTCCTCCAACAAAGATCCTGTTGTCAGGGGCTTATTTGTTATTACTTATATAATGTTGGGTGCTTATGTGTAATTTCTGAAACTTGTTAGTATAAATAGAATGTGGTGGAAGGATGAAAGGATTCTTTCATTCTTCTCTCTTTCCCCATCTCTCTCTTTTTCTCTCCTCTTTCATCTCTTCTTCTTCTTCATCTTCTTATACTTTACTCTTGGTTTGATTATGTCTTAAAGTCAACAGATTTCATGTGCAAAGACCTATATTTCATGCCTTTACTAAAACCACATCCAAAACAACAATTAATTAAATAACTTTTCATTGCCTAACTGCAAAGCAATTAAATCATCCTATTTCCCTAACGAGTCATATACAACAGGTGAAATTTATTAAACAATGGAATCCATTTTTCAACTAGTGAACCATGTGTATACGGATGCAATATCATGTTAATGGGGACAATGTACCAATCAATATATTCAGCAAAAAACTGATATACTCAGCAGTATTTGCTTTGATAGTGCCAACGTTGGAAGCAATACTTATTATATAGGCAAACTTAGTATAGCAACAAGAGCTGGTAATGAAGGCACCAGCGACATAACAGGTAAAATACTAAATAGTAGTACCAGAAAACTGAAACTAGTTGAGGGATTAAGAAGCAAGAATGGATGACTACCCACCACTTCATAAGAATGGATCCATATTCATTTATTTTCCATTGGTGTTGAAAGCCAGAATGTGTGAAATGAACTCATAAAACAACACGGAGAAAAGAGGAGCTAATCCTAACAAAAAGCAACATTACATACTAAAAGAAGCATCTAAAATTACAATTTTTCTGTTTCCAATCAAGATTTTTAACATAAAAATAAAATAAAATAAATTAAAACTTGCCTGTTTGGTATTTCACCTGGAAGTTCCATAAAATGCACCGCACGATCTAAATAACTAGCAAAAACAGTCTACAAAAAGCATGAAACCAATAAGAACAATCATTAAGCATCCAAATTTCTATCGAGATGAACAACACTAACTATTAAAGAGATCTGCAAGTAAGCCAATAGCACATCTTTCAAGTCTTAACAAGAGAAATTTTAAGAAATAAGAAAAGAAACAGGAAAAGATGCATTTTACAATAAGTTCACAATTTATAAGCACTAAGTACCACTAAACATGAAAATCTAAAGCATGAGAAGTACAAAGCAGCATCTAAACATGTATTTATTAAGTGCAGTCACTGATATATGCATTTCAGTGGTCTTCATTTTATTGTAAAATGAAAATCTTTTTTTTTTTTTTTTTTTCCTTCATTTTATTGTAAAATGGATTTTTTTTTGTAAGTAAAATTTCATTAAAAGAGTTCAAAAGGGGAACCCCAAGAAACTACACAAGACAAGGATATAAACATCGTGCCCAAAAAATCTACTATATCTCTCACAGATCTAAAATTTGACCCCTGTACTCAAAAGAAAAAAGAACTAAGTAGAGAGAAATTCAACACCCAATTTGGAACCTCCTCCCCTCAAAAGACTGCATGTTCCGCTCCCACCACAAGCGCTACCATAAACAAATCCGTCACCCTCCAAGCATCACAGGCTTGCCTCCACACTATACAGCCTGTCCAAAGCCTCAAGCATGCTCTTTGGGGATTCCGGCATAACCCACTGGTCTCCAAACAAAGCAAAGATCATAGCCCAGCTATCCCTTGTGTAACATGTGGGTGCATGCCCATTCCCCCAAAAGCTCAAACAGTTGGTAGTGCTGCATACCCACCCATTTATAAACAATCACTCCTCCATCCGGATCCGATGTGGGACAAATATCCCCTTGTAACATTCTCCCCCACCCAAACTCGCAACACCCACGTTGCACTCAGACCACTCTGCCTACCCTGGGTGGCTCACCCGAACACCTTCCAAGCTGGACACTTGGCATGGCACTGGATCAAGAATTGGATTTGGCTCTAATACCAACTGTGACAGGTGGGCGCTTGCCCATTTACCCAAAAGCTCAAGCTGTAGAGTAGTGTTGCATACCCTCCCATTTATACCCAATCACTCTCCCATCCGGATCCGATGTGGGACAAATATCCCCTTGTAACACCTTGCCACTAGGCAGTGCAAAAGAAGTTAACACTCACTCTTGCACATACACCACCAGTTGACGATAATCTGTCACCTCCTCTTCAAATTATTGATCGTCATAATCCTCCCCAACACCATTGTCCATCCAAAAAAGGCCACCTTGAGGGATTAGCTAGTACGCCACGCTGCCAAGGGAAATGTTAGAGAATATTATTATAAGAACCTTAAATTACTCCACGGAATATTACTCTGAGAATATTGTGGGAGTGATTTTCGTCTATAATTAAAAAATATATATATATTTTTTTTTTATAAGTAAAATTAATGAATAAAAAAAAAGCGCTCAAAAAGGGAGTGAATCCTAAAGAAAAACACAAAGCCCAAAACGCCTCAAGCCTTCAAAGAGGGCAAAAAAACAACAATCTCCTCTCCAGATCTATAATCTCTCCCTGAGACCCAACAAAAAGAGTGGAAATAATAGAGAACTTAAGCATAGAAATAGGTTTCTCCTTTCCATCGAAATATCTCCGATTTCTCTCGAGCCAAATACACCACCAAATACAAAGAGGCGTAGCCCTCCAAGCATCCTGAATGAGAACCCCTACTGAAAAACCTCTCCAAGCCTCAATCAACCCTCTAGAGGATCTAGGCATAACCCAAGGGATCCCAAATAAGCCAAGCATCAAATCCCAACAGTCTCTGGCCATGCTGCAATGCAACAGAAGGTGATCAACTGTCTCCTCATCGCGCAAGCATAAGTAACAACGATTGACCACCACCTGATTCCTCTTCCTCAAATTATCCTGGGTTAAAATCCTACCCAAGACAAAAGTCCAAGCAAAAAAGGCCAACTTAAGGGGAGCCTTGGAACGCCAAATAGACTTCCAAGGGAAAAGGCCTCCAGAACCAACCGTAAGACACCTGAAAAAGGACCGAACCTCGAACCGACCTGAGAGTTAGGATCCAAAAGCCAACAATCAGAATCCCCAGTTGTAATCACGAGTGACCTCCTCAATCTCCCAATCCTGAAAGTGCCTCCTAAACTGAACATCCCACGATAGTCTCCCGTTATCAAGATGATAACAGTCAAGCACCATGGCCTGCCTATCAGAAGCAATCCTGAAGAGTCGTGGGAAAGTGAGAGCAAGAGGAAGCTCCCCACACCAACGATCCTTCCAAAATCTGATCCTCCTACCATCCCTGATACGAAAACGAACATGCTTACAGAAATCATCCCACCCCTTTCGGATGGAAGTCCAAACCCCCACCCCCTAGGACCACGCACCTCAAGAGAGCTCCACCCTCCATTGCACTCCCCAAATTTGCTCGTGATAACTCTCCTCCACAGCCAATGCCTCTCCACCCCAAACCTCCAAAGCCATTTCCCAAGGAGAGCCTTATTGAAAGGAGTCAACCTCCTAATCCCTAAACCTCCACTCCGAATCGGACAATCCACTTGCTCCCAACAAACCAGATGATACTTGAACTCCTCTACTCCCCTCCCCCCCCCCCCCCCAACCAAAAAACAAAGAAAATTGCACTGCAACCTCTCAATTCTCTCAGCCACAGAAGAAGGAATCTGAAAAAGATAGATGAAATAAGTGGGGAGGCATGAAAGGGTGCTCTTAATCAGAGTGACCCGGCCCCCCTTGGAAAGGTACTGCTTCTTCCATCCCGCCAGTCTCTTCTCAAATCTTTCCACAACCGGATCCCAGCTCCTCACACATCTTGAAGGAGCTCCCAGCGGCAACCCTAAGTAAGAAATGGGAAAAGAGTCAGTGCGACATCCAAGAATCCCAAACATCTCTATCTCAGGGACCTCCCCAACCGGCACTAAGACGCTCTTTCCGACATTCACCTTAAGCCCAGAGACAACCTGGAACCAGACCAAAACGCGTCTCAGATATCTTAACTATTTGCATCACAAAGAACTAAAGTGTCATCCGCAAACATTAAGTGGGAGATCTCCAACTGACTAACAACATCCCTGCCCACCCGAAAACCACTCAAAAAACCCAACTCGACTACCCTCTTCATCAATCTGCTAAGAGCCTCCATCACAAAAAGAAACAAGAAAGGAGAAAGCGGATCCCCTTGATTTAGTCCCCTCGAACTATGATTAAATATGATTGGAGTGATTTATGGGATTGATTTTATGAATCCTCCATTAATATATTTTCCATATTTATCGCTTTGTTCTTTCACCTATAAATAGAGGTGCTCATTGTAAATAATCTTAAGAGATAATATAATAAGGGTGATGTAGCCCTTTGGGCTTTGTGTGTCTTTCCTTGTGTTCTTCATGTTTAATTTCTCTCTTCAATTTTTATATCTTTCAACATGGTATTAGAGCAGATTTATTATACCATACTCTATACTCTACTCGTCTCCGATCTACAGATCAACTCGTCTCCGATCTTCGGATCCACTCGTTTCAGACTCTCAACAACTTCGTACTTAGTTTCAAGTTGGACACTTGAGTTAAAATCTCCGTGTACCAACTTGAGGGAGGGTGTTGGAGAATATTAGTATAGGAACCTTAACCTAGTCCATGGAATATTGCTCTGAGATTAATTGTGGAAGTGATTTTAGTCTATGATAAAATATGATTGGAGTGATTTATGGGATTGATTTTATGAATCCTCCATTAATGTATTTTCCATATTTATCGCTTTGTTCTTTCACCTATAAATAGAGGTTTGTGTTCTTCATGTTTAATTTATCTCTTCAATTTTTATATCTTTCAACAAGAAAGAAGGCCAGCGAGCATTCAGGAGCACTGATAAAGTAGTCTCACCGTGAACATCCAGCAACTGGAATCCATCCAACATCACTCATCATCCTCGAACCCCCCACCTCATGCCTATAAAACAGAGCCAGAAGCTCACACACATCTCCCAGCTCCCAATCTTGGAAGGACCTCCCAAACAGCACATCCCATGGCAACTTGCCGCTATTAAGCTAATAGCCTTATCCACCGCAATCTGAAATAAACTCGGAAAGGTGGACTCCAACGCTCAATCCCCACACCACACATCCGTCTAGAAGCCAAAACATCTTCCCCTACTCACACTAAAACGAATATGCTTTGAAAATTCATCCCACCACCCCTTCTGGATGAATTTCCAAACACCCACCCTTGTCAGCAATCTCACATCTGCCGAACACCACCACCCTCTGCCCTCGCCAAACTTTCTGCAAATAACCTTCCTCCAAAGGCCCCCAATATCCCTGTAACCAATTCCCTAGCAAGGCCTTGTTGAATAACCCCATCCTCCTGATGCCCAGGCCTCCAAGCTGAATAGCTTACAAACATGCTCCCAATTCACAAGATGGTAGTTAAACTCGTCGCCCATACTACCCTAAAGAAAGTTTCATTGCAGCTTCACACACCTCAAAAGCCTCAGTTGTGTCTCGTCCGCATAACAAAACACGATAGTATCATCTACAAACAAGAGGTGGAATATCTCTATCTGATTTAGGGAATCTCTCCCCACTCCGACTCCTTCGATAAATCCCAGCTCCACAGCTCTCCTCATCACTCTACTAAGAGCCTCCATCATCATAATGAATAGGAAAGGGACCAAGGGTCCCTTTGCCTCAAAACCTCTCGAGCTACCAAAGACCAAGAATCTCACTGTAGAAATGCAAAACCATATCCATCTCCTCCGTGTCGTCTCAAAAGCCATCCACTCCAAAACCTACATCAGGAACCTCCAGCTCACATGGTCATAAGCCTTCTCCACATCCAGCTTACAAACCACACCTGGCACTCCACTAGTCAACCTGCAGTCCACACACTCACTAGAAACCAAAACAGAATCCAGAATTTGGCAACCTCCAACAAATCTTACCATATATAACAAGTTCACGAAAACATTATTTCTCTTTAAAAAGTTTAGGAGTCCGAAGTTTTGAATTATTATCTAAAAGAAAAAGACATCATTTAAAGAGCTATAGAAGGTTGAATATTATAAAAACATAAGGTTCAAATTACGAAGAAGTCTAAATATGTAGTGGAATGAGGAAAGAGTATACTATCTGGCTCAATTAGATTTTTTTTTTCTAGCCTTCACGTTGCACAAATTAAACATCATATGCTGCCAGGAAGTGAGAATACAAGTAATTCAGGATAAAAATCAATAAATATGACTTTAAGAAGTAGTGGATACACTTGGTCCAGCAGAAAGAAACTTAAAAGTTACTTTTTTCCGAAATGTGCGGTCATTTAAGATGGTAGCCATGTTCGAGCACATACTTGAACCCATGTCCACATACCACCAACTGCACTGCCCTAGCATCTTCCAATATCTACAAGGTAGACAAACTACTCTACAGGCCTACTCAAAAACTATAAATCCAGGGTATTATTTTCACAGTCCAAACTGTAATAGGCACATAAAACGTAGAAAAAGGGCATCAGAAATGTATAAGTGATTGAATGACCTTTTATCTAAGCTTCAAGTATTTAAAACCTCAGGCATATTACTCATATTCAATGCATAACTGTTAACTGGCCTAAAAATCCCAGAGGCCCCAACGATAAAATTTGAACTTACATCCAGCGACCCAATTCCGGTGAATGAATATAGTCGTGTAGGAGTGACAGCCATCACATAGTATCTAGTGCCGTTGCTTACGCTAGCTGTTTCCATCTGCAGAATAGACGAGTTTCAAACAAAGTTACATGCCTCAGTTACGGCAACCCATACAGTGAAACTTTAGCTTCAATAGCAGATGAGGAAAAAGTTGTTTGTTCCTGACATCTAATTAAGTTGGTTAGTAGCGCATAATTGAATTTCCCTCATACATGATAAATTTTATCAATCAGAAAATTCCAGGCCTTATGGAGAACCACAATCTTTTACCAAATCAAGGTTATTATCAGGTAGAAGATCAACATGAAGAAATTCCATGGCCAATCTAGTATCCCAAACCAATTCGTTGTAAGGGTATTCTACTAAACAGGTAAACCCAAACCCGACCCATTTAATAATCGTGTCAGGAACCCTCAACACTAACCCAACCTATTTATTAAACGGATTAACGTATTAACCCGTTTAACGATCTATTTATCAAAACAAGACATTTAATATTCAATTAAATAATAAATACTAGAAAATTTTGTCACAATTCACCCAAATTTTCAAAATAAGAAGAAAATTTATAAGGCGTAGTCAAGGTTTATGTTGAAATGACTTAATTGTCCATTGTAATTGGGTTTAAACATGTAATATATTACATAGCTCATACTCACGATTATGACATATTGAGTAAAACGTGTATAAACGGGTTACACGGGTTAAAACCCTCAACCCTAAACCAACACGGTTAAGTAAACAGGTTAATCGTGTCCACCCGTTTATGACCCGAACCCTTTTAAAGTCAACCCAAATCCGTTTATCTCGTGTCATGTTCGAGTCGTGTTAGTGTGTCGTGTTGTAATTTGCCACCCCTAAATGGAACACATATATAAAAAAAATAACAAAAGTGGAAAAGAAAAAAAGAGGAAAAAAGGGAATTACCTGCAGACCCGTGAAAGCTTCAGGAAGTTCGATTAATTCAAATAAAAATTTTATATACTTCTCCTTTTTATCCTTCTCATCTACTGCAATTTCGTGAAGCTGGCCATTGTCTGTACCAAGGATCACTTCCCTTGTAGAAGCTGTAAAAACATCACATGCAATAGAAAAATCAATCAATCTGCAAAAATACCTATGTAAAATGAAAGAATAATCTAAAGGAAGCAGCGAAGAAACTGACTAATAACCTTCTGTTATCTGTTGCCTATTCCAAGCAACAGCATTTACAACAAGACCTTTCAATTTGTTTAACATACGGGGCCTGCTCCACTTTGCATGTGTATAGAAAGTATCAGCACCTCCATTGCCAATAACGGTGGCGATACAATGGCTCCCTCCTGGATCAACAAAAACTCTGTGGATGGATTGTTCCCCAGGCCGGCCCACAGAAAGATCAATATCTACACATAAAATGGTCAAAGATAAATAACTTAGAATTGATTCATCTTATAAGGTGCATAAACAAACTCAGCAAAGACATTGGCAAAACTTGGCCAAACTATTCAACATCTACTGGAAAATAATCTTTAACAGTTATGAGTCTATCGTGCCTGCCGTTCCCGCTCAGCTCATAAAACTAATGAGCAGGAAAGTAAGCTTGAGCATTAATTATTTAGGGCTGGTAAAGAAATCTTAACACGCAAGGTTTGAGCAATACAAGTCATTTCAACCCATAATCTTATACCCTAAGAATTAATTATATAACAGCAAGAAGAAACATCTCAAAAGCATTGACATAGAGTGGCTGACTTGATGAATCGTAAAAAGTGGGACGTGGACACGTCAAGGACATAGCAACAAAGAGATATAGTTTGTATACATAGTTGCATTATATAGAACAAGCATCACTATATGTAATATGATCGACAGAACTTAAATTCTATGGTTGTAACAAGGATTGTAACATATAAATGATAATTATCAATACTCACTAGTGTCCCATAGAAGTGGCCAAGATATAACATGTGTGTGTGCATATATAGGTATATATGCATATTTAGCGGGTATACATATGATTACTTCTCTCCTTCTACTCCAACTTTCACCTCCACTCAATTATAGAGCCTTCATGCATAGTTTTGTCATTTTGTGACATGACAAAATATAACATAAATTTCATATAAACATTTTTTTTTTTCTTTGAAATAATTATTGTTTCATATAATAATTAAAAGCCAACGTCTAAGATTTCTCAATCACAGGTTGGTTAGTGTTAAAGAAATGACTTGAAGTGTTTTAAGTTACGAATCCTGTTATGGACACGTAAATGAGGTGCATTTTTTGACACAAACATGATCCCATCCAGAACTGCCTATACTTTCTAGTTCCCAGACGCGCACGCGTATATATACAGATATACATATATATATATATATATATCGAGTTATTCATAGCTGCCATGCACATTGCAATGGTCTGACAATATTAGTAACATGCACATTCCAACAGTGTGACGATATTAGTTGCAAGTTGCAAGTTGCAATAATGTTGCATTACATGGTATTTAAGTTGTTACGGATCTAAGAAGATCACAGTAACTTCCTTTTGCCCTCAATAACAGACAAAATTATATAGTCATAAATTAATAACCACCTCGCACAAATGAAGTGTTGGATGTTAGGGTTTAGATTGCTATGCTTGCTTCAAGGTAACAAATTTATGGTAGTTCTGGATATAATTATAGTGGCATTTATCAATTAAGTGGCCAAGTGGAACGGGTGGGCGGTTGCCCATTTACCCAAAAGCTTAAGCTATTGGGTAGTGCTGCATACCCACCCATTTATACCCATTTCACTTCCCATCTGGATCCAATGTGGGACGAGTATCCCTTGTAACACCAAGTACCTTCTACTGAGAGGCTGAAATTAACCCCATAAGCCACCTCTATGAGTGGAATGGAGGGTAAAACTCACCACTCACCACTCCTGAAAACTCTATGTAATTTTAATCTTCTATTGTGGCGAATAATTTTCCTTTTGCCAATATTGTAATCAGAACAGAAATTCAGTGAGTTCATAAGAGAGACAATGTTCCATTAAACATCAAATGTTGCCAAGTAAAATAAATTGCAGTACTTAAGAATAACAACATCGCATTAGAGGCTGAGAGTATCAAGAAATTAGCCAATAAACAACATATTTTTATCATAACATATTCTAATCATAACATATTGTTCCAACACAACTCTAGCAATATTGAGCTAAGTGCCATAAATGCGCATGTGCAAGTAATAAAAGATCTCATTAATGTATTGTGTCTGTGTGTGCATGTCTGAGCTCGCGGCAGAGAATTTAAATCGATCTCTATGTCCAAAAAAATGGGGATAGATTCATAAAGAAATTAGATCAAAAAGGAGAATCACTCAGGTGAAAGTCAGTAGAATAAATAAGTAGAACATACCATAAGAATCTCCAACTCCAAAATCATGTCTAATAACCGATCCTTTACTGGTCCCTAACACAATGACATCATTGCCAGCAGCCATGCATGTAATTACCCCACGCCCCTTTGCTGCGTCTCTTTCTAGGAGGTCTACTGAAAAAACCTGTCTCCCTAGCTCCATGTTCAAACTCAAGAATTCTCAATCCTACAAGTACCCAAACACAAGGTGCAGAAGAAGATCAGCTTCTAAAGATGACCAATTCACATTACGATCGATACAGAAATACTACACATTAATAATTACAAGAATTACAGTTACAACAACAACAAAGGAGGGGGGGAAAAGAAAGAAGAAAAAAAGAACCTGTAAGGGACTTCTTAACTTTGTAACAATCTAGTTCAAATCCAGCTCCAATTGAATACTTGATGCCAAAGAAAATTTAATTTGAACTGGTTATAATCTGTAATATTTAACCTAAAATGAACTATTACTTGTCCTAATATGGATATTGTGTGGTTCTACAGTTTTAACTTATTCTCAATAGCCATAAATTAATTACCCCCCACCTCTTTGCAGCATATCTTTCAAGGAGGCCTGCTTAAAAGACCTGCCTCCCCTCCCCAGTACCACTCCCAAAATCAAGAATAATCAATCCTACAAGTAACCAAACAAAAAATGCAAGCGATAATGATCTTTTAAATATGGCAGATGGTACATGACACGAAAAGCAATGAAGAGAACTACTACATTAACAAGTTAACTTAACAAAGCATTTTTCCTACAACAGAATAACAATGCAAAGAATAGTTGTAATGGCAAAAAAATATATATATGGAGCACACCAGTTCCCAATTGTATAATATATAAGAATTCCCGCTATCATTCTGATTTAACCAAAGATTATACATTTGCCACATCTGGGTTGCCTCTTGTTTCTCTTGTTCTTATCATTTTTTTTTTTTTTAGTCTTTTCATTTACAACCTGGCTGCGAGAGACGCCTAGAACGACCTCTCTTGGTAAGGCTGCATCATGTTAGCTCTCATTAATCTGAACTTGCAAGTGTCATAATGTTGCTTATTTTTTTAGTACTTATAGGATGAAGGTTTGTAAAACAGGATGAAAAGATTACCTCAGAAGTTCACATTATCGAGAATCTGAAAAGTTTTTGGTTCAATTTTTAAGAGTGGAGGCAGGCATAAGACCTTAAAGAACAAATGTATGTAGATGAGTGAGAACTTCAACATCATGTCATGTAAATAGTGGATAAAAAATTAATCACTTTGGAATATAATCTGCACACAGGGATAAAAAGCTTCCAAAGTCAAAACAACTATCTAATTCACAATTTGGGTGAGACTGGAGTTTCTTGTGAACCAGAACTTCCAAATATATCCACCCAAATACTTCAATTTCAAGGAAAATGCCCTGTGATTGCTAATTATTTTCTTGTTCTCCAGAAATTCCAAATATATCTTCAATTTACTAAGAATGCAGTAACTGATCAAATTCAGATACCTGAAATCCAAGAAAGTATGACACAATACATGAAACTTCAATAGAAGAAGAAGAGACTAACCTCGTTCAACAGCTTTTGGCGTTCCTAGGGTTAGCGATTCTCTCCGTATTTTGCACCCCAATGGAACTGAGATCAAAGGGAGGACTGATCAGGAGGATGGTGGGTTAACCCGAACAAGACTTGCGTTGATATCTACTGACCCGAATCACAACCCGTTTGCCCGAATATAAACTGAAATCACAGTTTGTTTTTTTAAACCGTATAAAACCGTATTCGAGTTCAATTCGAATTCTTGTTCTTCATTCCAGAGCTATGCATGTGTGTGTGTGTGTATACACACCAATAAACACTGATTTATGAAGGTCTCTATTTTATATTTTTCACCATTTTCCTTTAATCTCGGCAACTATGACGGTCGTGAGAAGAGAAACCAGAGCTCAATGGAAAATCAGATCAATTTCTTATACCTATTTGTAACATAAATACGTTTTGAATATAATTATAAAAAAACATAAATACATTTGAATATGTAATTTGTATTTGAATATCTGATTGTATATTGTCAGTGTGTATATATAGTGTGGGATTTATACATACAGCAAAATGATTGGGAATTAAGTCCGAACTTGACTTAACCAAGCTCGGCCGATTTAAGACGAGTCTCTTTGTCTGACAAACCGAAGTCGAACAATCCTGAACTCTACTCAACTCATATAAAGCCCAATATATATAAATATATATATATATATAATAGCATCTTTTTCTCTTTCGGTTCTCTACTCGTAAGATAACTTCTTTCTCTTTTTTTTTCTTCTTTTTTTTTGTACTTTTTTTTGTAGATTATGTTAATATCTTTTATTTGTTTGTTATGTAAATATAATAATTTTATGAATTGTTGAATATTATTTGTTTTGTTGAATAAACTAGTATGCAAATTGTTGAATATTATTTGTTTTATTGAATAAACTAGTATGCATTTTGGTATTTTATTAACTCAGTTTAGTACTTAATACTTCTATCAACTGTTTTAATTCAAATCTAATTTTATATCCATTTAATCTGTTGAAGTTTATTATACTATGACACATGACTTTGTTTTATATAGATAAATGTATTTTCAATAACTATTGATAAATTTATTTTACTTTACTTTTTGGCCTAAAGAGTATTATATTGTTCTAATTTTCTTTTGTAATAAAATAGGTTATATTAAATATTTTTGCATTGTAATTTAAATTCTTATATATTTGTCATTTTAGTGAAAAAAAAAAATAAATAAATAAATAAATAAATTATTATTATTATTGTGTTGAATATGTCCCCTCTTTAACCTTTAAGTACTTAAATTTTAGAGTTCCAGTAGTAACTACTTACCTTAGTAGTTGAAACTGGACTTAACAGAAATTAACCAGGACTGGTTGACTCATCATTGGTTCTTAAGAATTTGATTGACATTAGTTGGCTCTTCAATTTTTATTATTATTTTTTTTTATTTTATTATTTTTTTCTTCTTCTCCTTCTGTTCTTCGGGATCGTGTGGGGTACATCAAACATGATATCACACCACTTCTCAAGCTATGTTTGATTGTGCTAATTTGAATTGCATTGGGATTGTAATTTCACGATAACAGTCCCACCCATTCAATTCCAAATCTAATATTTGAATAAATGTGAGAATTCAAGTGTAATTAAATTTCTATTCTAATGTTATTGTTTGGATAAAATCTTTGATTTAGAATTAAATTAAACAATCTAAATAAATATGTATATAGATATATGTAAAATAAATTATATGGACAAGTATATCATTTATTGTATATATATATCTATATGGACAAATATATACTAGTAATATATAAGACAAATTTAAAAAGAAAAGTAATCCGTCTTCCGACCTCAATTACCAATTCCTCCTCCGAATACAACGTGGTTGGGAATAAATTGAAAAAAAAGAGATATTTACGTAATTTTTTTTAAAAGTTTCAACATAATCCAATTGCGTTATATTCAGAGGAAGAGTCAACAATTGAGGTCGGAAGACCTATCATTTTTCATTTAAAAATGATATCAAAGAAAAATATCTATTGAGAAAAGATGATGGCTAACAAAAAAGTGATCCCCAAAATTATTGATAGAAGCATTTGGAATTATCACCACCTTAATAGCAGCATGTAGCTTTAAATTTTTTTTTTTTTTTTTTTTTTGGTACAAATTAACTTATTCCCAAAGCCGGATTCGATATATGACTGAGAAGGTGACACTGAAATCTTTGAAACCACATTACACAACTATAATGGCAATGAAAAAAAAAAAAAACAAACAAACAAACAAAACAAAACAAAATGCCAAACTGTATCAGCCTCTTACCTCCCATAAGGGGTTCAGGGTTTCAGTCTAAGAAGAGACAAGTGTGTGTGAGTACCAACTAGAACCCAAAAAAAAAAAAAGTATCTCGGTCACCTTCCATCAACATAATTTAACGATCGCTTGTAGAGTACAGCCATCTACAAAGAAACATAAACTCATGACATGCACACACACAGCAATCATAACTCACGCGTTCAGTATATGGCTCACTGGGTGACTAGCTCTCTCAAGTTCTAAAGTAGGGAGGTTCATAACCCTTCTCTGCCATTCATATTGTGCCATAAATTACACAATAAAATAAAATACTTAAAGAATACATGGGAAAAAAAATAATACAAACAAAACCAGTCCTTGTTCTTGTGTTTGTCTGCTGGTTAGCTGGAGTGGGGAAAAAAGCTCAAGCATGGCTTGGCGTGGCCGCCACACCCCCTCCAAACAAGTCACGACTTGCGATCTCAACTCGTTAATGTTAAATGTTTTGAATAAAGTGAACGAGAAACTCACCAAAGCAGCACCTTTACAGGACGACAACTACATCTGCAACACTGGTTTACGCTCACCTTGCACATTTATCAATAACTCTTCTCAAGATAATAAGACTGAAACATAACCTGCCTTTGGATGCATTGGTCAAGTAAAATCGACTTGAGAATCTATGATTCCCTTCTTAAGAAGTGACCCATGGTTAGAAGATCCATGGCACACCCGCCGAAAACAATGACTGGGAGGCTTATCGAAATTCAGAAACCTTCTCCAGCAGCCGTAACTCACTGAATGGACCGGGATTGCATTACCACAAAAAGTCCAGCTTAAGCTGTGTTTCGTTTAGGCCCCCTTCAAGTACCTTGCCAAAGGTCACCAGTGTCAACACCTCTTTTCCTGTAGCAAGATATAGTATACGTCATCATACATAATGCTAAATATTTCAATTACGATACATATAAAATTCCTAAATATTTAGTGGTTCTGACATATAATATCAGGAAGGTATGATTAGATTAGTGCGGCGGTCCAAACAAGAAAAACATCTTTAACCCTTAGAGCCAAAACCTGAGCTGGTAACTTGGAGTCAGCTGCTCCGTTTTAGCCAGGACATTATTCAGGCATAACAAGTTGAGACCTCGTAAAAAAATATTTGCATGGTAGCATACCAGTCTAGTGTTACAGTAAGCTAGTCTACAAACAACCACCATAGTGCAATGAAATGTACAGTAGAGACTAAAAATAAATCTTACCCTTGTGGAGTGACACCAGAAATTTCTACTCCTGCAAGGCGAAGTATTGAGGAGCCAGTTCAGGTAGCCACAAATAATCAATTCTAGTAACGTTGCGGATGTAATTATGATTAGTTCGGACAATCTCGTCGAAAACTATGCACTCTGGTTTTGTCCGGAATAACACAGAAGAAGGGTGGATCTGGACCACCTGACCACTTGACAAAACCCTGTCATTTGGTAGGTAAACTAACTGTGAGATGAATTGAGATGGAAAAAGAGTGTTTATTGAGAAATTAAAAAATATAGGAAAGACTGGCCACGATCCATGTCAAAAAGCAAAATAGCTGTGGAGACATGAATACCGCTGTACAATTTAGAACACTATAAGGTGTTTCCAGTACCTGTATGTACCATCAGCCTGCTTCAAAGCTGCATTGAGGAAAAAGGAAGCAGCAAGGCATCTGCGAAACTGCAGCATGTCATCTCCACAAGAAGTACCATGGAGACTCATTTGTCCAACATTTACCCGAATCTGACTGCAAGATTGATAATATAATTCATCATTTACCCAAATTTGACTGCAATAAGTGCAGGAAAAAAAATAGAATGCATATCTAGAGAATCTACAAAATATAGCATCACTTGAGAGGACAACATAGAGACCCATTTTGAGAGATCTTATTTGAGTGTCAAACCAAAGATGAAACAAAATTTGAGGGCCTGGATGTGACGACACACTAGCACATCCCTCTTCTTAATAAGATCGCCATGGAAAACAAATTATGTAAGGACTACCTAATTTGAATAAAAGCAGACAGGGGTTTTAGCAATATATTGCTTTAAACCCAACAATGAGAATACAACCAACCTGTGAATGTCACGAGCGTGCCTCAGGGAGCGGCTATTTATGAAATTTTCCTTGCACCATTTTCTCAGATTTTTTTCAGTTTTTTCTCTACTGTTTCCAAACTTACTCTTTTCCAAGAACTCATCAGAAGCCCGGTACACGTTAATTAAAGTCAGATGGTCCCCCTCTGGACTTGAGAAGCATTTCATTGCAGTTCGTGCCTGGCCCAACAGGAGAAATTATGTTCAGAATATTAGCTTTACATATGAATGTGTTAATGTTATATAAAATATCATTTTACCTTACAAGAAGAAGAAGAACTCTAAGAACCTTTTCAATTATTGACTGTTTTGATCCTTCCCAAAAGTATATCTCGTTTTAACCCCCAGAAGACTATTTTTATGCCTTACAGAACCCTTAAAAAAAAAAAAAAAAAGAAGAAGAAGAAGAAAAAGAAAAAGAAGATGCCTCCTAAAATATGCCCCACCCAACACAACATATAATATAGGCTCCAGTGGCTAAAAATTCATGGGTTCTACCACTCTTCTTTTTGTAGTTCCAGAGTTCATTTGATGATGCCTTGGCAGGATAGATGATAGCCAGGTGGAGGGGTTCTAAGGAAAGAACGTAGGTAGAGAAATGTGGCAGGTGGCTTTGTTATGTAAAGGATGGAGCATTTGGAAAGAGAGCCATAGGAACTTGAAGGGGTAGAAAAGCCTATTTTTGCTCATAAGTATAGCATCTTGAGTTTTCTTTCTTTGGATTGGTAATAGCTCTTTTTATGTTTAATTCTCTTGTAAAATTTCTTAGTAAGATGACAGTATAGCTTTGCACTTACCTAGTACTAGCATAAATGGGTGCACCCCCCTTTGGTGCTTTCCCATGATACTTATCCTAATTAAATATATATATATATAGTAACAATAACACTAGAACTAAACTCTATTCCCAAAGATGAAACACTTTTAAATGTAACAAAATACAACAATATTCTTAGAAAGACTCCGACCAAATCTTAATGACTAAAATACATCAAATGTCACATCATCTTCTCGTGGATCCAACAATTTGTTGATTCAATGGTATCTGCCACTAACAAAGGGCTACCATGTTAGGATGCATCAAATATCCATCATAATTTAATTTACTTCTTATTTTTCATGCAAAATAATCCAGCCAATAATATCAAATAGACCCTTTACACGGTTTGCCAATTTCAATTGTAAGACAAACCAAATCAACTCAATCCAACAAAACCTTACTCCAGTCTCATTCTGATCAGTCTAAGACCACAACAACAATAAAAATAAAGGCTACCAATCTCATTCTGATCCGTCTAAGACCACAACAACAACAAAACTACAGGCTACTATATCATTTAATACCTCAACCTATTATAAAATTTCAGTCTGACTTTTACATAATATTTCTCTTAATGTAGGCTATGTCACTATTCAGCAATAGTGCAGTTCTAGATCCTCATTGCACATAGACAAATCCATTTAATCCTTTTCTCTACCATCTCCAGTTGGTCCACATCTACTAATAAATGTATTAATTGTAATTCTAACTTTCCTAATATAGTTATACATTTTAATATCCTCATTTTGAACATACTCTTTTTCTTTTCTTTTTTTATTTTAAAGTATTTTGGCCATACTCATTTTATGACATGCTCAGTCCAACAGAGCTAAGTTATATCTACTCTTCGAAAATGTGAGACATGCCCGTGCTGGACATGCAACACTCGGCGCATGGATATGGTTGGACGTGCATCTACAATATTTCAAGTGCATTATGTAATTGTATGAAAAATACTTTACTATGTTCATTTTGATATATTATTGCTCTAAAATGACTACAAAAATTATTATTTCCCATAGATATTGACCTTTCAACCTCATAGGTCAAAAAGGATTACTAACTACTTCAGAATCAGATCTTCACTTAAGCACATCACACTTTAATTCTTTGAGCAATCCCTCCACTTACCATATCATTTTCCACCTCCTCCATGCCTATTCAAATTAAAGAACCTAACCTAAAGAGCAATCATGGCATCTCTTTCTCAAGTTACTGATCAACTCACTCATTTCAGATATTCTGAGTAAGGTACTAACTGTCAGTATAAACAATGTAAACTAAAAGCTATGAGAAAACAAGCAGCACTATATAGAAGTCATGAATGCATACCTCTTCTAACTTTTCACGAGGAGCATAAAAAATAGATTCCACAGAGAGCATAGCAACAGTTATTAACATTTCCTCTAAGCAATTGAACTGACTGGAAAGGATGAGAGCCTTGGAATGAATAGGCTCCAACGGCAATCGAGCCATTTGATGCCCTACTGGATCCGACAGTTTATACTCCTCCGTAAGAGCACCTAACAAGACCAGTAACTCCAATGATTTCATGATAGTCATCCTGTTCAAATGAATGAAAATCAAATGATTAATCATATAACAAAAAATTTTGTAAGAACAGACATGCTCATTCTATGATAAAATGTCAAAAACCAATAATTTGCTGGTAAACAGTGCAGTCTCCTTGAGATAGCAGCAAAAAGAAGTGAACAAATGGCAAAAGTTAAATAATTACCAAAACGGAATGATCAATAATTAGTTAGCCAATGACTTCACATATACACTGAACACTGATAAATAAATCGCAAGGTAGTGTTCTCAGTCGGACATATCATAAGCCATTTTCTCATTATTCAAGTAACTGAAAGTTAGACTTTTTGGTCCAGCCGATGTGAAAAACAGAACAACCAGCAGAGAAGAGACATTACGTGATTTTTCTTAAAAAGGAAATAAGTACTGCATGCTCACATATGAATAAATTATTTTACAATATTAAAAAAAAATTATATAAGAAAAAGTCTAAATTGCCAATCTGATACATCAAAAAAGTAGACACTCAAAGATCAAGCGATTAAGATAATAGAACCCCAATATAGAAAGATAAGTTATGCAATGCATCCTAGAGCACATTTCTTCAAATGATAGTCGATGAGCAAGCAGTGAATGGAAGCAAGTATCCTTTAAGGTCTGACAATGTAGTGCCACATAAAAGAGGACCAAATGGAAGATTTAATTCAAGGATTTGCTCTTCTTTCTCACATAACAAGAAGCTTGCATTTTTATAATCAAATTTCATCTATCGAGTACACTTACCATATAATGGTCCTAAGATTTCCCAACTGTCCAGCAAGAGTAGGAGGAATTTGAATTAGTACAAGATGCTGAATTAAATTGGATGAAACTAGGATCATGCTAAATCCGCCATGCATTAGAGCAAATAAAACAAAACCCCGACCACCTAACCCACTTAAATCCAACCTATTAGAATATGTTAAGGTTCGAACTAGGGTTTGGGGACCAAACCCAAAAGCAAACCAATAATCTTTTACCACAATATTTCTTAACATGAATTTAGTTACATTCCTAACTGCTTTTCATACTTCTAAACATGATAAGTTGTAGGGTTGGTACTTGCAAAGTTGTACTACTAGAACAGGAGGTCAAGAAAATGTAAATTGGGATATACAACAAGATGAACATAAAAAATAAAAAAGAGATAACATGGAATGTAAATCACTTACCAAAAAAAAAAAACACATGACTTAACAAGATAAAAGGACCTATATAGAGTAAGAAGAAAATAAGATGTAATTAACCCTTGAAGCTTAGTTAGCTTAAATATTAAATAATAAAAAAGAACACCCATTAGTGCAAAACGTTAGATAATGCAAGTGACATTGTTTTACTGACGTCGATGGTTTTTCCATGAAGTCAAACCCAATAATATCATCAACACCTAGGGCCTTGAGCTGCAAAATGACATTTGAGAGGTTGCACCGTTTGATCTCTGGATCTGTGGAATCTTTAAGTTTCTCAAATATACGCTCTGGATAAAGACGGTAGCATTTCCCATGTCCTTCACGCCCAGCACGTCCACTGCGAGAAATGTAAGAGGCATAAGATTTAAGGCTCAATTTATGTTGAAAAAAGCAAAAAGAAAAAAAGTCCTTTTATGAAGAAATATTTTTTTTGGTAAGTTAGGCGCTCTCATTTTTAAATATTCTCCTTTTTTCCTTTCTTTTGGGGGATAAAAGAGAGCAATTAATAATAAACTCATTAAAGATATTAAACAAATAAAATAAATATGTATTACAGGTTTTTGGCAAACAACACGTCCTTTTATTTCAAGAGAAACTTACTAAATTCATAAATAAAAATATATCGCAGGTTTTGGCAAACATCACAACAATATCTCAATCTGCAATGCGAAGGGGTTAACTATAAACAACATAAATAATCTCCTAGCGACTAAACTCACTTAATACTCTTGAGCATCACAACTGAATCCTCTCAAGCATCACTAAATAAAATGGACAATTAGTATTCACATGTCAAATATTTCATATAGATATACCATCATACATAATCCAGTGTGTCTACCTCCTTTGAAGAGCCTGTGCCTTTGAGGTTGCAACAATAACCAACGATTCAACCCCAGTGCGAGAACAATAGTCACGCGTTTTCACCACTCCAGGATCGATAACATACTTGATTCCAGGTATTGTCACAGATGTCTCAGCAATATTAGTTGCCAGTATCACCTACATAGAACATACATGCATATCAACTGGTAGCTAGAACATGGATGACCAAACAGCTTTTTTAAGAACTGCTGACAGAGTGAAATGATTATAAAAAAAATATCAAGTTTAGCTAGGACTATTGCATATAATATTAAACATTCAACCTTATCTAGATATTCATGCCAAAGATAATTATAGGATAAAACAAATAAACAGCACCACCATTTAACGAACGTATTGTAATATTTTTCAACTCAAACATCAAGTGCCCCTATGGTACATCATCATAGACACATATAAGCATCTGAAAAAACACTTCCATCACCAAGGACAGGCTTCAATATTGGAAGATCTTGATTTAGTGACATCCTTTGAAAGAGAGGATTAATGCAGTTTGGAGGTCTTCCTACCAACGTGTATGACAAAACTGATAGTCATGCAGAATTAAAAGAACAAAATAAAAACATTTTTTTAGCTGCTAAGCCAGTGCTTTTATAATCCAGTTACCCACTTCTTGATGCCCTTGAATACAACAAAAGAACAGCTACCAAGGAACAATGCTTAAAGGGCAAGGCACCGGCGAATACAAGACAACACTATCATGCAAATGGAGATTAAAGATAATGGCTCTTTTATTCTTGACATGATCTTTTTGCTTGATTATACCAATAGCTAGTGCTTTCCTAATGCACTCGCGTAAGATAAGCATAGTAAACAAGATAATAATTTAAAAAAAAAAAAAAAAACAATTGCATCATTGACAACAAGATCTTGCGGCATACGGCCGTACGGGCCTCTTTTCTTTCCTTTTGGGATTTTTTTTTTTTTTTTTTTTTTTTTTTTTTTTTTTTTTGTTAAGTAAAAATTTTATAAAAAAAACGCTCAGAAGGGGAACGAAACCCATGCAAATACAAAAGACCACAAAGGCCTCAAGCCTTCAAAGAGGCTAAAAAATCAACTACTTCCTCCAAAGAAAAATGATCTCTTCCTGAAACCCAACAAAAAAGAGTAGAAATAATCGAGAATTTAAGCACCGAAATTGACAAAGCCTTTCCTTCAAAGAATCTCCTATTCCTTTCAAGCCATAAACACCACCACACACAAAGCGGCGTAGCCCTCCACGCATCCTGACTGAGAGCCCCCACAGGGCAACCTCTCCACGCCTCAATCAACCCTCTAGCAGATCCAGGCATAACCTAAGAAACACCAAATAAGCCAAGCATCAAAACCCAACACTCTCTAGCCAAAGGGCAATGAATAAGAAGGCGATTCACAGACTCCTCATCACTAAGACACATAGAGCAATGGTTGACCACCACCTGGCTTCTCCTTCTCAGATTATCCTGGGTTAAAATCCTACCCAGGACCGAAGTCCACACAAAGAAAGCCACCTTAAGAGGAGCCTTGGATCGCCAAACAGACTTCCAAGAGAAACGAACTCCGGGAACAAAAGAGAGGCACTTGAAGAAAGACCTCACCTCAAAGCGCCCCTGAGAGTTTGCAATCCAAGACCAACAGTCTGAATCCTCCTCCACAATCCTCTGGCGATATAACAACTCCAAGAAACGAATGACCTCCTCGATCTCCCAATCCTGAAATGAACGCCTGAATCGAACATCCCAAACCAGTCTTCCATTATCAAGATGATAACAGTTAACCACCATGGCCTGCTTATCCATAGCAATCCTGTAAAGCTGAGGAAAGGCGAGGGCAAGAGGCACATCTCCACACCACACATCCTCCCAGAAGCAAATCCTCCTCCCATCTCTGAGACGAAACCGAATGTGCTTGGAAAAATCATTCCAACCCTTCCGAATAAATTTCCAAACCCCCACCCCCCGAGGATCTCTAACTTCCAAAGAACTCCACCCTCCTCTCATTTCCCCAAAACGACATGTCACAACCCTCCTCCAAAGCCGAGGTCTCTCCACCCCGAACCTCCACAACCATTTCCCAAGGAGGGCCTTATTAAAGGGCACCAATTTATGGAGACCTAACCCGCCATTGCGAATTGGCCTGCAAACTTGGTCCCATCTCACCAAATGAAACTTAAACTCTTCACCTCCACCCCCCCACAGAAAATTACGCTGCAACCTCTCTATCCTTTCCGCAACTGAAGAGGGAATCTGGAAAAGAGAGATAAAATACGTGGGAAGACAAGAGAGGGTGCTCTTAATCAGCGTGACCCTACCGCCCTTGGAGAGATACTGCTTCTTCCAACCCGCCAACCTTCTCTCAAATCTGTCCATCACTGGATCCCAAATCCCCACACACCTCGAAGGAGTTCCCAGAGGCAATCCTAAGTAAGAAATGGGAAATGAACCAGTACAACAGCCAAGAATATCAGCAAAAGTCTCAATCTCAGGGACCTCCCCAACCGGCACCAAAACACTTTTTCCCACATTCACTTTAAGGCCGGAAACAACTTGGAACCAAATCAAAACACATCTCAAATATCTAATCTGAGAAACGTTCGCATCACAAAGAACTAAAGTGTCATCAGCAAACATCAAATGAGAGATTTCCAACTGAGAATCTGCCTCCCTGCCCACCCGAAAGCCTCTCAAAAGACCCAACTCGGTAGCCCTTCTTATCAATCTACTAAGGGCCTCCATCACAAACAAGAACAAGAAAGGGGAAAGGGGATCTCCCTGTCTTAAGCCCCTTGAACTAGAGAAAAAACTAGTAGGAGCACCATTAATAAGGATCAAAAAGCGAGCACTGGAAATACAAAAATGAATCCATCTCCTCCATCTATCACCGAACCCCATCCTCCCCATCAGGTACAGAAGAAAGCTCCAACTTACATGATCATACGCCTTCTCAATGTCCAACTTACAAAGAACACCCGGGGTTCCAACACGCAATCTGGAGTCCACACACTCACTTGCAATAAGGACTGAATCCAAAATTTGACGGCCTCTTACAAAAGCGTTTTGAGAGTCCGAAATGATGCCATCCAACACTTTCCTCAATCTTGAAGCAAGCACCTTGGCAATCAGCTTGTAGATGCAACCCACCAGGCTAATAGGGCGAAAATCTCTAACATTCAAAGCACCTCCCTTTTTTGGAATGAGAGCATTGAACGTGGCATTCAAGTTTTTCTCAAAAGATTCCCGAGAATGGAAAGCATGGAAAGTGCCCATCACCTCTCCTTTAACCACTTCCCAACATTCAAGAAGAAATCTCATAGTAAAACCATCTGGACCTGGGGCCTTATCCCCATTGCAACTCTTCAAAGCAAACAGAACTTCCTCCTCAGAAAAAGGCAACTCCAAGCCCAAACACTCCTCCTCAGAAATGGAGTCAAACTGCAACCCTTCGAGCAAAGGTCTCCACTCAACAGACTCGTTGAACAAATTCTCAAAAAATTCTGAGAATCCTTTGCGAATCTCCTCCTCCTTACAAAAAATGACCCCCTCGACTCGAATCCTCCCTATATGATTGCCTCTTTTATGAGCATTAGCCAATCTGTGGAAAAATTTAGTGTTTCGATCCCCCTCCTTAAGCCACAAAGCTCGAAATTTTTGCCTCCACGAGATCTCCTCCAAGACAGCAATCTCAGAAAACTCCGCCTTGCACACCGCCCTCCTAGCCTTCAAAGAATCCACCAAATCCCCTTGACCCTCCATCTGATCAATAGCCGCTATTTCAGCAAGAACCCGATTTTTCCTCCATTCAAGGTTCCCAAAAACCTCTTTATTCCAAGTCTTAAGATTATCCTTTAAAAGACGCAATCTGCCTGCTAGCACATGACTAGGGGTGCCAACCACATCATACCTTTCCCACTAGAGACGGACCCTCTCCAGAAAGCCCTCAGCCCGCAACCACATGTTCTCGAATCTGAAAGGAGAGCGCCTACTGCACAAACCGCCACAATCCAACATCAACGGAACATGGTCAGAGATAGGACGAGCCAATGTAGCCTGAACAACATCAGAGAACCTCTCCTCCCACTCCCCGGACACAAGGAATTTGTCAATCCGAGAAAGGGTAAGAGGAGATCGGCCACTGGACCAAGTAAATGGCCCTCCAACCAAAGGCAAATCAATCAAACCAAACTCATCAATAAACTCCGAGAAAGCCTCCATATCAGATGTCCACCTACCTCCCGTTGACCTCTCAAACGGAGAACGAACAGCATTAAAGTCCCTACCAATACACCAAGGCAAACACCAACAACTTCTAATCTCTCCCAACTCCTCCCAAAGTAAATGGTGTAAACCGTCCTCCGAAGGACTGTAGACACCCGAAAAAACCCTATGAACCCCATCCTCAGCCAAAGCAAGAACATATGAAACAGAGAAACGCCCAACCTGAGCATCGACTTTAGACACCCATCTGTTATCCCACATAATTAAGATGCCCCCCGAGGAACCAACAGCATCCAAAGCAATCCACTCCACAAATCTCCCACCCCAAAGAATCCTCATAATCCTGTCAGACATCGAAGCAAGCTTAGTCTCTTGGAGGCATACCACATGGCCCCCACCTTTACGAATAACCGACTTCACTACTTTCCTCCTAACCGGGTCATTGAGACCCCGAAACATTCCATGAAAGAATTTGTAGCTTCATTGGGAAACACTTGGAATAACCAACCCTCCTTCCCTTCCTCCACCTTTCCCACCTGATCTGGACCCCCGATTTCTCCTCTCATACGTGATAAGGTCATTTGGACTTTGCATCACTGTCTCCCCTTTCTCCTCCTGCAACCCCACCTTATCACCCTCCTTTTTCTGAAAATGAGATTTGAGAACATCATTAAACAAACACATCGCCTCATCCACCCTGCCCTCAAAAGAAACACCCAGCAGAGGGCTCACTTCCAGACCCTTCTCCCTCACCCACTCCTCCTCAGTGTCATTCACCCCAACATTTGTCGAGGCACTGGTCCAATTCCCTCCGGGGGGGACAACAGCCAAAGGCACAGCCAAATTCACTGCTTGTTCCAAGTCTTCCCATGGAATCATGCCCGAATCCCCATCAAAAGAAGAACCTGCAGCTTCCCCCCAATC